TAGAGCTATCCTGCTACAAATATGACATTATATATAGACCAGGTTCGGAAAACACAACAGCAGACGCTCTGTCACGAGTTTGTGCGTACATGAACACCGACAAATTAAAACAGCTTCATAATGCGCTTTGCCATCCTGGAGTAAGTAGAATGTTCCATTGGATACGCTCTAAAAACCTACCGTATACAGCAAATGATGTAAAAGAGATGATTGCATTGTGTCCAACGTGCGCTGAAATTAAGCCAAGATTTTTGAAAGCAAAAGGTCAACTAATTAAGGCTACGTCTCCATTCGAACGCCTTAATATTGATTTTAAAGGTCCTCTCCCTTCTAATTCTTCAAACAAATATATTTTAACGATTATCGATGAATATAGCAAATTTCCCTTCGCTTACCCATGCAAAGATATGACCTCATCCACAGTCATTAAATGCCTGAAAGACCTGTTTCTCACTTTTGGCCAGCCTCTTTACATACACAGCGACAGATAACCTCATTCATGTCTGAAGAATTTAAAAATTTCCTAAAAAACTCAAACATTGCATCCTCAAGAACGACGCCATACAATCCACAGGGTAATGGTCAAGTGGAACGTTTGAACGGAACACTTTGGCGTACTATTCAGCTCAGTCTACGTTCAAAGAGTTTGTCAATTGGAAACTGGGAGGAAGTCCTTAAAGATGCCCTTCATTGTATCCGATCACTTCTTTGTACATCGATTAATGCTACGCCACATGAAAAACTATTCACGTACCCTCGAAGATCACCAAACGGGGATTCGCTACCATCATGGCTTTCAACGCCTGGACCTGTTCTAGTAAAAAAGAATGTCCGTCACTCAAAGACTGATCCCGTAGTAGAAGAAGCTGAACTTATCGAGAGTAATCCTTACTACTCTTTAATTAGAAGAGCTAATGGAGAAATGTCAACCGTGACAAATCGTCATTTAGCGCCCTTCCCAAACAACGTTGACGAGGGTGAAGATGATGTTAGTCTTGAAACTTCAGAGACTGAGGCCTCACAAGAATTACAAACTTCTGATGGATCTTCGACGGAACAAGAGGTTAGAAGGTCTACTCGAATTAGAAGGCCACCCTCGTGGTTTCAAAACTTTGTTGTAGAAAGTGGAATTGAAAATTCTACAGGGGCAGAAAATTCTGCAGAAGAAGAAAATTCTACAGGGGAAGAATGATATGATATTTTATCTAGTTATCATTTGATAGTCATTTATCGTTATTGTCAAAGTTAATTTAATTGTCTAGTTGATTTCTTTAAGCTAATAAAAGCCATATTTCCAGTGGTTACAAATATTATATCACGTAGTGACCTTGTTTTTTGAAGTTAAGAAATATTTTTGAGCAGGAATATTGATCCGAGTAAAGAGCAACAATTTGATCATGAGAAAGTTGGATTTATTGATACAGTGTTCACAATGAAATGGTAAATTTTCCGAATTTCATAACTATTTTTTTTTGCAAATAGAACTACCACTATTTTATTACGCTGTTCAATACGTCTTTTGTGTGTCTCTTCCATTTTTATGAGGGAGGTCCTGTGTTAAACCTCGTAGGTCTTATTATACTACGAAATAGTAGCAAATAGTTAATTTGTGCCACTTACTTAACGTTGCTACGATTCATCAAAGTGAGGCTTGATTATGGGAAATTATTCGGAAAAAAGTAATCAGATTGACAAAAGTGAATAAGTTTTCATGTAGAATTAACAAATGACATCGAAACCGATCGAAACAACTAAAAATATACAGGGTGGTGACTTGTGTAACGCATCATAGGGATTTCAATGTAAAATTCATAAAATGCGATTATTGGCTCCCCAAATTATTTTATAGCAAACATGTATTAAGGTTTTTTGTAGAAAAAATTTTTTTACGTCAATCAACCGTATTAGTTTTCAATTTTTTGCAAAATAAAGACGTAAAATTGGGAAAATAAAACCCGCATCTTTTTCAATAATCTGTGATGCCATGGAATTTTATAATACAAAAACTACGCGAATATTCGTCATGCCATGGAACGTCTGCTATAAAACAAATCAAATTCTATCAAAAAGTATTATATTTAGAACAGCGAATTCAACATAAAGAAAGACCAAATTACTAAAAACGGTTTCCCAATATAACAATTTACAATAAATGTTCGAATAAGTCACCATTAACTGCAAGACAGTAACCAAGTCGATGATAAAATCAGTTTCGACCTGCTGTTAATTGATAACTGGATATCTTTTTGTTTTAGAAAATTCCGTGGCATCGCAGATTATTGAAAAAGATGCGTATTTTATTTTTCCAATTTTCCGTCTTTATATGAAAAAAATTGAAAACTAATACGGTTGATTGACGTAAAAAACTTTTTTCTACAAAAAAACCTTAATACATTTTTGCTCTAAAATAATTTGGGGAGCCAATAATCGCATATTATGAATTTTACATTGAAATTCCTATGATGCGTTACGCAAGTCACCACCCTGTATAGGGTGTTCTATTTAAAAAAATCAAAAATGAGACACCCTGTACATTCAAAAATAATTTGTACAGATGCGCAATCATCTATACATTTGCACATAAGAAGGTATGGGATAAGAAAGACGCACTGTTGCAGGACCCTGTATAAATAACACAAGGCAGTTAGACGTTCCTTTATTATACAGGGTGCCCATTATGTATGGAATTTAGTATATATCTCGGTAAATATCGAATGTGTACAACATTTTTCTATATGAAAGTTGTTTAACACTCCGTTTAACAGTGTATTTCCCATAATAAAGCAGCATTCAGTTGTTTTTATTTCAGAAAACAACTGGCAGTGCACCTTTTCATTAGGCTCATTTGATAGATTTTATCTCTCTTTTCGATGATATAACATGTTACTACCCTTGTTCAAGAAAATTTTTCAAAAAAATTATTATAATTAGATCAATAACATTAATCCATATTATATCCTACATCAAAATAAAACAAATGAACGTGTACGTTTCTTATTAAACCTTGAAGGCAAATCGAAATTAGCAGTAAAATGATTTTCATCGCATTGAATGTTCAAAATGTGTTATGTCATGGAAAAGAGAAAAAAAATCTATCAAATGAGCCTAATGAAAGTATGCATTGCTATTTAAAAAAATTATTATGGGAAATAAAATTTTAAACAACTTTCATATAGAAAGATGCAGTGGATATTTACCGAGATATTTTCCATACATAATGGGCACCCTGTATAATACCTTTTAGCATTGCATTAATTAAAAAATATGTTGATAGCATATGGTCCTTCGGATCGTAGGTTATGACAATGGTAGTACATTGGCAGGACTTAGCAGTAGCTAGTAGTACACAGAATTACTGGTAGGACAGGGGGGTGCCCATTGAAATACCCCTCAACTACTATCAGTATCGACTGTGCTCTTGGCCTCTTTTTCAACGATTACGGCGCACTAATAATGATTTTGACATGTTTTGATTAAAATACATGTGGCTTCAGAAATTAAATTTAACATCTTTGAATCAAACACACAGGGTAATCAAATCTGCATGTGATGTACTCTTTCGGCATCAAGATACTGCGTTTGAAAGCGTTTACAACTCCAAATTCATGCGTAAAGAATAATTTTGGGTACATTTTGCTCTAAAACTTTTGACCTAGGCCGCCAAAAAGAGAGTGAATTCGTCTAAGAATCATAGGGAATAATCTCAATAATCTAACGAAAGTTCGAACTCCACACATAACCTAGGGAATGAAATATGTACATTTCTATTATATTGATCATACAATTTTTCCTGTTCCTGATTCCTATAACTTTTATCCCTATTGAATCAGCTGCCTGCAACTAAATAGCATGCTACCTTAATGTCCAAATTACCCGTACGCCTAATTTCAACACGATCGGTCACTTTTAAATAGTCATGGCCCACACGGAAGGGCAACAATACAAAACTATAAAGTATGCGAGGATCCTTAATAATCTAAATCTGTCTCTCATAGCAACTATTTACCAGTTACAAAAGGTTTTTCAAAAACGCGGAGTCGATACAAAAGCTCCTTATACTACAGTCGATCATCAGTTCAACACCAGGAATATTATGTCAGCGTGCTGCATTAATTATTTGAGACGTGATAATGCTTCTTTTACCGTCATGATGCGTATCTTCAAAATAAGCATAAATTAACATGATTATAAAATATCAACGTAAGTTGTACGAGTCGCAAGAGTAGAATTTCCCTTTCCTTATGTCATGAGCTGTCTGAGGCATATTTACATCTGTTCTATAACTTATGTAGCTACTACCACAATCAAAAGTATCCAGAAAATGAGAGCCATCACTAAAATAGTCATTCTAATTTAATTTGAAAGACTGTAAACCCAATGTATCTTTTAAACTTTGTTCGGCGTTGATTTTATAGCATGCCTCTGCATTGGTACGTTGACAAAAGGTGCACACCCTAAAATTGTTCACGAAAGGCACTCACATATAACCTTGTGGTACTTACGTCACGTTACAAAAACACATCGGCTCGTTTTCTCACAGCGAGTATGTGTAGAAAAGTAACAAACAATTTTTGGCAGGTCTCAAGAAATCTGTTCACCTAACCCTGATTGTACTCCAAAAGTTGATAAATCTCTTGATGACCACTGCCAAAGTAATATGGAACATTTCACAAATACGCATACCTTACATCACTTTCTCATTCTGCACTCCAACAATGTTGCCTTGACATTGTAAAAATGTGTTTTATTTATCCACTGATATCAACAAAGCATCCGAACTGAATAAAAAGAAGTCTGCCGAAACAGCAGGAAAGAAAGATGCAGAGTATCAAGGTTTTTCAAATCGGAAGTATTCGTCTCTCGTCTGCGTGACGTCACTAATGACGTACGCGAACGTCACATGGTTTCTTCCGGAGTTCCGAGTCCAATAAGCTTGTGTATGTATGTCACGTGCCCCACAATAACCAATCAACAACACGGGTGTATTTAATAGCTAGAATATTTCTGACAAGCGTAGAAAAAGTTTCATCAACAGCCGCCATTTTGCCTGTTTCAGATCGTGTCGAATTTTGGATTAATTCTGGAAATTATTGTTTCCCATGTAAATCGAGGGGGCCTTTTCTCGCCTAATTTGGGGTTAGAAAATCATCTAGTGGTTGAAGCGGGTCAATGTGTGTTATAAAAGTGTCAAAAAGTTGAAAAGAGTGACTGATTTAGTTCGAGATCATTGTGCGATTCTGTCGGAAGATGGTGAGAGGTAGTCGCGGTATAGTCGGCCAGTCGGACTAGTCGAGTTCATGATGGCCGATGGTTGATTTGTTTGTTAAATATGTGCCTTGAGGGATGCATCGACTCTCGAACACTTGGTACATCGACTGTTTGGTATCGTTTAAATCGTATTTTTGCTTTAAAATCATGTGCGTCGTCCTCGAAACCTAATAAATAGTAAATAATAGTGTAGTGTCTTGGTCGGCCGCAACATTGGGCCAGTGCCTCGGCTTCGGCTTGGTAAACAGGGAATTGCACTGATTTGTGCTATGGCGGATCATCTTGTAGATGGGCCGCCAAATGCAAAGCGGCAAAAATTGGATCCTTTTCAAGGGACGTCGGATTCCTCCGGTAAGAATTTCTATTAAAACCGCAATATTATGTTTACTTTGTATTGTCCGTACACCGAGCGCGCGAGAAGGCGTTCCTGTAGTTTTGACATGTTCCCAAACAGTCTATGCAAAACAAAACACAACTAATAAAAACAGCTGTTTATCATCTACCAGTAGTAATTTCTTGTAAATGCTTTTTTCAAAAATTATTACTTTCTTTGTAAAAAACATTGCTCTCGTTTTATAGTGTGAAATTGGTGTTATGTATTAATATATAAATAGCATTGCTCTTGAACTTTTGCATGCCGAATGTACTATACAGGCCTTTGCATGAATTATCGTTATTTGATTTATTGGTTCGCTTCACAATTACACTTACTTTTAAACTCTTACCTTAACCTAACAAGTTCCGAATAAAAGTACTATTATTAAGTAGGTGATGGTACTAAAGGAAAAGAAATAATACTTTATTTACCTAACTATTAGTGTCGATGCAACATGCTTTCAACTACGGCTTGGGCCCGGGACACGGCCTGGGACAAACACCAGGTGGTGGGCAGCCAGATCTTCTACAGCATTGGAATATTCGTCAACAGCAAAGTAAATACTGCCTCCACTACCTCATACCTAATAACATAATTTTAACTTATACATAACATAAACCATTCGTCTCTTAATGAACCGCTAATTTGTATCTTTCTGTAAAATATGTTGTAGTTGCAAGTGTTGTGTTTGCATTTTAAACTTATTGATGTCTAGCTGTATTTTGTTAACAGAACATTTGCATTGCATAAATATACTCGCTTCTTAGTGCCTGACGATCATTATATGTCTGCATTAGTTTTAAGTTCATTTATTCAATCGGAAGTGCTCGTTTCTTGTACGCAAACAAGCACTTCCATCGATCATAAACACCTGTAGTCCACCTGACACTCGAATTAATAAATCTGGTTAACGTCTAGACGTCCTGTCCAACATGGATATGTTCGACTTGGAAAATGATCTACCGGATGAACTCATGTCTTCTGGTGGTTCATGGGGAATGGTCTCAGATCCTTTAGGAAACAACAAGCCTCCCGCTCAAGGACCTGGACCCGGTGGTTTGCAAAATGGCGTCGAAAATTCCGATGGTACCAACTCACTACGGCAGATGCAATTGAATCACCACCTCCTTCAGCAGGTAATTGTACGTATTGATTTTTGATCTTTTTTTAATGTACTACTAAAGATATTTTTATAGCCGCTTTATTACAAATTCATCGAAGACTATTAGAAATTACTTCCGAACCTTCTGTTTTCATTAATATAGAATTATCTAAAATGTTGTATTATGTCTGTAATTTTTTATACCCACAACAGACCTTTTTTTAATATTTATTTATGTATTACAAAATTTAAAATAAATCCCTTTTTGGGATTGCTGAATTTTGACATTTTTATTTAAGCATTAAACAATTTCCTGCAATACAAAAAAATTAAACATTTGTAAAAAAGTACTGTGTTGTTTATATAATTATTTTATTTCTATTTAAGTATGGTTCTTGTTTCATATAATTTTTCTAAAATAAATGACTAAAAATTTCTTGAAGAATTTATTTATTACTAAAATACTTTTTGAGTGAATTGATTTTTTTGTTAATTTTTTTGAGAAGTATATCACAACAGTTAGTTAAATTCCCCGAAGGTGTGAATTTTATTGCAGTGGTTATTTTCAGTCTCTTCTGTTTCAAATAGAAATTACAACTAGACGAGATAGAGAATAGTTTCAATGATTCTATCTTCAAATATCAAAAGAAGTAGGGGGCAATTAGTAAAGTCACCTAAATCTGTTCTTTTTTAACACTTGGGTTAAATGGAAGAGCACGAGATTATTTTGCTGTAAATAGATTTATTTGGTAAAAATAGGAAAAGCCAGAAATTAATAAAAATATCTTTCAGCAAATTGTTTAATTGGCTTGTGCTTTTACTAAATTTCTTTTCAGGGGAATAAAAACTTGGTCGGAAACGCTTTAGCAATGGCAACTGCTCAGTTAGGAAGTAAAAGTCCGAATCTTCAAGCGCCTCCAAATGTCTCGGTCGCCAAAGGTGTTTTAGATCCGATGTCTTTAGGCAATCTCCCGTCCAGCATTCCTAACAATGTAGGACTGCAATCGATTGCCAACAACGGAAGTTCACCTCAAGTGATGAGTTCGATACCAGGTATTTACAAGTGTTATACTACGAATTGTCTTAATTAATACATTATTGCAGGTATGAACAGTAATGTGGCAGCAGTTAGTGCGAGCGGTATGATCATGACCAACAGCAATATGGGAACGATAGGAAATATGGCAGGGGGTGGTTTGGTCGTGTCTAGTGCCGTGAATAAGCCGACGTTAACGAATACAACCAGCATGATGGCAACTGGACAGCATCAGTTACCTGCGAATCACGGTGTTCCTCAGGTGAGTGTTGTTATCTTGCACTATTCAAGTGGTAGATTTATGAACCTGATTTTGTTTTGGTTGATTTCAAATGATTAGACATTTTCCTAAAATTGATAAATAAATAAAAGTCATGAACAATCAAAAAACTTCTAATTAGTGGTTGTATTTAAAAAAAGAATAATTGTCAGTTATCTGCTTGTTTTATTCCTTTCAAATCACCATTCACCACAGAAACCAAACTCATTTTTGTGATTCAACACAGAGATATCATAAAACATTACAATTCGATCTAAGAGAAAAGTGTATGAAAAATAATGGGCCAAAAAATTAATTAAAAATTAAGGCATTACAAGGCTACTTGAGTGAAGGATAACTTATCATAAATGATACTGTTGAAGGGCAAACCGTTAATCTTTCCTAAATTTAAGTTTTTAGTTGATAGTACATTTGCTTACTTGTTATTTATAGATACTTTTGGTTTCTAATGTTTGTTTATTATCAGTGCAAATAATGCAAGTTTTTGCACTAGGAAGATTTTTAAGTTTCTTAAAATAATGTACAGAGTGTTCTACAAAGGGATTCACTATTGCTATTTTGTTTATTATTGTTGTTACATGACTATTTATGAATGACATTTTACTATTCAATATGAAATAATTGGAAATATTAAATCTAATATACATGTGTTAATGAAATTTTAGTATATCTGTGAGCCATTGTCTAGCAATAGTGGCTAAATGTTTTAGATTTATTTTGGAGTAAAAAAATGTGATTTTTGGCGCTATAATGAATTTTAGTTTTTTACTGTTTGATTTAAAATTGAATGATTTTTGTGTATGCAATGTTATTTTACTATGCACATCATATTTCATTTTATGCATAGGATCCACAGATACAATTTCGTGGAAATAACATTTCTGAGAAATCCCTTTCGGTTTCGCATAACAAGCTTTTCTTGTCAATCTGAAACAATGGTGAAATCAAAAATTGAAAATATTCGCTTGCTTAATAAAATCTAAAAAAATTGCCGATTTCAGAATGACTCCATATTTTTTAGTTTTAGGACCTAACCTAATTCTTTTTAATGAAGCAACCTGTATATTTTAATCTAAAAAGGGAACATATTAAATTCTTTGTTCAAAAATATAATTAGAAAGATTCAAGTTATAAAATTCACAGATTCAAACAGATCTAAAAAAATTTAAAAAAAGGTTCAAATAATTAAAAAAAATACAAAAAATTTAAAACACAGTTTTGAATTTTGAATTTTTTTTTTAATTTAAAACAGTTTTGAATTTTTTAAAATCTTGAATCTTTAAATTTTTTTAGTGTTATATTTTAAAGGCTTCAATATGCTATTTTAGATTAAAATCTACAGAGTGTTTGATTTAAGATCTGATAAATTTTTTACCTTACCCCGTGCATATATTTCGAAAATGGCAAATTATTCAACATTATTCAATTCAAACAAACTTTTGCACGGCGTTTTGTGTCGCGTGCTTCAGGACGCCGAAAAGTCACGCGTTTCTACCACGTTGGCTGTCGCGCGTTCGCTCGAAACGCGCGTATAACACAGGGGTCAATTTTGTCGCGCTAATCTGTAACATCATCTGTCGCGGGGCAGCAATCGCTGAACGCCCTGCATAAATGCACCTATTTGACTCGATGTAATGCCTAATCGTTTGGGCGCTAAATAATTGATTTCTTAGAGCACTTTTTTAAGTAGAATCCATAGCGATACATAGGTAGTTTATATACACTATCCGGTTTTTTATACAACCCTAAATTACATTTTCTCATATGGACCACCTTATACATTTTTTTGAGTTTTTGGAAAAAAAGCGTAAAATTTCCTACATTTTAATGTATCACTGATTATATTTATATTGAATATTATTTGCAATATTGCTCTATTTCAAAAAAGTGTCCAATTTGGACCACCCTGTACATGCTCGCAGTAGATTTGTGAGACACTTTGGTCACGTTAATCAGAAGAACTTATCGTGAAGATTTTTCTGCAAATAGAAATGCTGTATGCACACTTACAGACACTTTCATAGTGCGCATTTTAGATGATTTCATTCTGTATTTGTTCACTTAATACTATTCGAAGAAGCCATCTATTCATGTACCCATTTGGAAGTTTTTGTTTGGGAATTCGGAGAAATTAAGGAAATTAAAATTATTATAAATCTAATTTTTGTTTCAATAATTTCACGTCACGAGTGATTCTAGTAAAAAATCACTGGTGTCGTGAAATTATTGAAACAAAAATTAGATTTTTACGCAAATACTAAATTCCAATTATTTATTTTTTCCGGTTTTCCGAATTAAAAAATAATAAACTGTACCAAATAGACAACCAACAAAGTCACTTCCGGTTGACGAACATTGACCAAAATGTAATCAATTAGTGAGTGTATCATAGAATTGTAAATTCCCGCAATGTATAGGTGCTCTATTATTAAAATAAAAAAAGTGAAAACACTAATGGACCTGCCCAAAGATTTTTCCAAAGCATAAAAATCGGAATTGTAAATGTTATTGTTCCATTCATCATGAAGGCAGTGTACAGGTTGTCCCATTTTTGACATTTATAGGGGATCTCTGTAATTGTTAATGCTATCAAAACAGTAATATAGGTATCAGCACTCTTTTGGGTCAAACTTACAAATAGTAAAATCAAAAATTTTAAAATATTCGCGTGCTTAAGAGGTACCAGAGGAAAAAAATTGTCAATTTTAAAATTACTTTATTTTGTTAATGAGTGTGATGAAGATTGTTGACTAATCTGTAGTTTTCAAAAGAAGTATAAGTATCGATTCAAAAATTCAAAAAATTTGTTGTATTTTTTTAATCATTTAAACTTTATTCTAATTTTTAAAAGCTTTTTTGAATATCGTTCCTGGCGTGTTATATTTCTCAAAAGAAAATGTAATGTTATCTTTTTAGATTAAAATATACACTGTGTTCCATAAAAAAAAATGGGGTCCAATACACATGTTTTAAAAACTGCAGATTATTAACTAGCGGTCCAGCTCGTTTATGAGTTTGGACTTTCTGTTCTTCTGTTGATTGATACAGTGTAGATGGGATTAAAGTTGTCCCCTAATTTATTTATCGTTACGAATATTCGGAAATGTTTGAGAATATTTGAGAGTTTGAGTATTTATGGAAATATTCATCTTTTACAAAATATACTATTCTATACTAATTATAACACACCAAAGATAGAATCAATCTTTTAATAAAGTTACGTTTTTTAAAAATAATAAAACGCATCTAAGTTTTCAATTGTTTATTTAACACACATAAAATAGGGAAACTTTTTAGTCTCAGTTCATATGTGCCTTCAAAACAAAACTAAATTAATTATAATTAATAACTTTTTGTATTTTCGCGTTTGTCCTGTTGGGCAAATAAATCATTATTATTATTAAATCCAGACAAATTAAAGAAAACTCACTAAAAAAATTCGAAAATAAGAATCAAGAATTTAAAATAAGAATAAGAAATTTGAAAGTAGTAGCCTGTCTAGCGTACTGTGGAAATTCTGATAACAATTCAGATTCTTCCAAAGATAGTGCCCATAGAAGGTGCTAACGTGAACCGTCCATTTCCCCGACCGACCAAAGCTAGAGAAAATGGAAACGAAATTTGATATTTTCAGTTTTTCGGTGACACCTCAGTTCTTTTCAAAGCTTTTTCCACAATTTCTTTGCTTTCATCCATTTAACCTACACTGTCTCTCTCATCGTTCCGGAAATCCCAATGGTGAGTCATGAATTTGAACCACCCTGTACATGATAACTCGCGAAGGATTTTGAATTTTCCAGTTTGGTTTACAATAATGGGTACACAATGGTCAAGGAACTAACTGATTAAATTTTGGTCATTCGGACTTCAGTCCATCTGTGTTTGTAGACGAGTGCCTGTATTGGTTTGAAACGGTTTATTCAACGATCAATAAACTTTTGTAATTTGTAAACATTTTATACATGGACTCTTTCGGAAATTGACAATTTCTTAATTTTCCCCTGTATCTTAAATTTGATTTGCCACAGTCTGTTCTTCCGCTTAATTCCGCTATACACAAGCAAAAAAATACAAAATTATCTTAAGCATCTTATGACTAACGAGTGCATACTTAAAGCCAATAGCCGACCTTCCAGTTTAAGTCGCTCATGTGTGGGAAAAAGGTTTGAAATGAAATAGGTATTTGCGCTTCAACAGTATTTTTTCTACTTGCTGCTAAAACCCAGTAATCATTTACTAAAGGTGCGTTTGTTTTTGGATTTTGATTATTTCTTTTGCTCTAAATTTTCGTCGTTGACGCACTTTTATCACTCAAACAATTTTATATACAGGGTTGCTATTAAAAATGGAACAAAAGCTTTTACGCCCAAACTGTTTGAGATATGGACATTGAATTTCACTACAAACATTAAGTGACCATTTACTCTGCTCTTTTTTTTTTGGATACTGAAACATAAAAACGAACGCACATTACTCAATCTAGTTCAATGTGATAATGCAAACATTTATGTGTGCGAAAATTATTAAAAGTGCTTTAAACAGGCAATGCAAAATGGACCTATAATGACTGGACGAGCGGTTGCTATGCAGCACATGAATGCTAGAGCTCCTGGTCCTCACGGAGTACATGCAATGGGTCCTAGAATGCAACCACCAGGCATGCTACAAATGGGTGCTGTTGGACAAGGCATGCCTAACAATCCTTCATATGCATATCCCAATCCCAATGCAACTGGTCCACAGGGAATGCAAGTCGGTTAGTAGCTTGATATACACTGCAGTTTTATTTTGTTTTTTGTGCGGATTGTGCTTAAAGATTATATTATTTAGGAGTTGTGGCACCTCAACCACGGAATGCCATGGGTATTCAGCAAACAAGATTTGGCGGACCGGCAGGTCCAGTCGGTCCAGCGTCAGGTGGTGAAGGGGGCATGGCTCAAACCCAACCGCCCGCTCCTTCACCTGCTCAACCGCAATCTGGTGCACCGTCAGGAACGCAGCCTGGTCCACAAACTGCAACCCAAAACCAGCCTGGGACGGGTGCACCTGCTGCTTCCACAGGTGAATTATTTCTCGTAGTATTTAGATACACAAAATTCCTGCGCATATCAATTGTTCTGGGTTTGATTGACCTTTTTAACTTGTTTCAGATCCTGAAAAACGTAAATTGATTCAACAACAGTTAGTACTTCTGCTGCATGCACACAAGTGTCAAAGGCGAGAATCTCAAGCTAATGGTGAAGTTTGGCAATGTACATTGCCGCATTGTAAAACTATGAAGAACGTTTTGAATCATATGACGACGTGTCAAGCCGGTAAAAGCTGTTCAGTACCTCATTGTAGTTCATCGCGACAAATCATCAGTCACTGGAAACATTGTGTTCGAAATGACTGCCCTGTGTGTTTACCTTTAAAGCAAGCGGACAAAAATAGAAATAATCCTAACAGTAAGATAAAAATTAAAGAGGGAAATTTAAATTTCATTCTGGCATGTTTTATAGCTCCATCTAACCCAGCGCCTACTACGCCGTCACCAAATCCATCCGCGTCAGACATGAGGAGAGCTTATGATGCTTTAGGAATTCAGTGTCCCACAACTGCAAGCGCCGGACCGACCCCGGCTGGTCTCATTCCAAATGCTCAACCACGCCCCGGCTTAAGGTTACCGCTTACAGTGGCTCCCACGATTCCTAATATCAATCCAAATTTGGGAGGAGTCAGAGGTCTTGCTCCGCCCCAAGGCCAACCGGCACCTAACGTTAGTCTACCGTTAAGCAGCGATCCATCTTCCACACCTACACCTAGTTCGGCAGCACAAGTTGCGGCTAACATTCAACAAAGTGTGTCTGGAGTTCAACAGCTGTTTGGTGTAGGTTCAGGAACCGATCCGGCACAAGGAGTGGTATGTTTCAATACTAATGTAGTCAATATCAAATAAGGATGAAGCAGATGGCACCATAATTGCATTTATAATTTAACATTTTTTCTTATTTAAACTTGAATTTGATTTATAAACAATGCAACATATCGATGTTCACTGTCCAATTAGAAAAATCGTTTTCTTTTACTTGTAGCAATTTAAATAATGCAGAAAGAAGGGGTTGATTGATTTTTCACAAGGAATGGGTATTACTTGAATTCTAGGAATAGATTCTTTGGTACACATCTTGTTGATGCTGTTCAGACAAATGCTGTGTGCATAAAGGTGTTGTGTTGAACCCATTTCCAAAATTGGAAATTACTCTGATTGTGATCAACTGTCAAGTACCAACAATTTGCCATGCTGCAAAATCAATGATGCAATATTTGCAACAAAGTTCCAACATGACCTTTCTTTTTCACAATTACTGACACTTTACATTGACAGGTGGGTGAAACTTGTATGATTTTTAATTTGCCGCTCTCGTTTTATTTAACTTTTATAGGCAAAGTACTAAAGTGCTTAGAGATTCAATGTACTGGAATCAGTATGGTTAATCCATGCAAGAGGGAACCAAAATCCAAAGTCTGGTGTTTAACTTAATTAGATTTGTACATTACATTTGCAATTTTTAGCTTCCTAGCTTGAGTTAGGTGGCTATTGCGATCACCGTTTTTTGGACATGTTAAAATTTTTGTCCGTCTGTATGTATGTGCGTACGTTGGCAATTTTCCGAAGTAACGGCTCGACAGATTTTGTTCAAATTTTGGATATGGATATTAGACATACTGAAACGAAAAATAACGAGCCGGATTTAAAAAAAAAAAATTTGGAGCGCTGCAACGGCATCAAACTTTTTCTTTCAAATAGCAACCTAAAATTTTTTCTAAAGGCCGCTTGACATGGAGCAATACTACGCGCAAGAACTTGCAGAAAGAAATTGCAAGGTCAAATCCTTGCATGCAATAAGCATTGCATGGTATTTGACATGGTGCAATTCTATATATTAATTTGCCAGTCTGCCAACAGAAGAATCATATGGATTTGTCAACAAAGTTGTTAACCTCAAATGAAAATTAAATTTTGATTGCTTGAAGAAACATGAAAATTACAAGAATAAATAAGATTAGTAAAAACAAGTAATGATTGCGTCTCTCAGCATCACAGTTGCCGCCGCTGTATTTTACTAGGTTGGTGCCACAAAAACAACTAGATTTATCCCTAGAATTGCACGATTCATGCAAGAAAAATAGCACCGGTCCTATAAAAATTGCATGCAAGTCTCTTGCAGCAATTGATCAGCTGGCTTTGAACTGCGCATGCCTTTCGCAATTTTTCTTGCAACTTACATGCAATTGCAATTTTTATTGCTCCATGTCAAGCGGGCTTAAGCTATTCGAAAGACCTTATTTTTTCTGTGTACAACTTATAAAAATGGTGCCAGGTTTTATTACAAAAAAACTGAGAAAAAAAATGTCAAAGTTAAAAAATTTAAATATTTCTTTTCGGCAAGACTAAATTAATTCTAATTAAGAATTACAATTATTAATAAAATCTAAAATTAATAGACAAACATGAGCAAATTTAAAGAACAAAGATACAACAGCACACGGTGACCCATCTTGAGTACTAACCGCGCCCTAGATTGCCAAACTTCGGTGATCGGACGAGAACTGGTGTTTTCAATGTGCTATGGCTGTTGTCGAAAAAGTTACTCTTCTAAGGGAAACAATGTAGAATCTTTTTTTTTACAAAAAGAGCATACAAAAAAAGATGCAAACGCCACGTCAATTTCGTATTTAGGAAAGAATGTGTCATTAGAAACAACCTATTATCGCGATCTAATTAGAATTATTAATTTAAGGGGTAAACTTAGTTTTTTCCAAGTATATAACAATAGAATTGAATAAACAGAAATAAATACTGTTTACGGTGGTAACAGTTATATACGATAGTTTTGATGCAAGCATTTTTGCATGGAATATATTGTATTAGTTTCAGGAATGATTTATGGGGGTTTAATTTGATACACAAGCCCAATTGGGGTGTAGCCGAGGGCGTATAGGGTCATTTCTTTTGGACTACCAGTTTCGGTAAAGTGTAGAGCAACTTAATTTTTTCAAATAGAAACCTTGAATATTCTTATTCTACATCGGAAAATAATAAACTTTCGTGGGAAACGTTTTTGTTTAAACTTATTATTTTTTGAGACACTCTTCTAAAAGCGCTCGGATTGAGCTAGAAAGCTGTTCTGTCAAGAATTTGGCAATGGTTTATAAAAGAACATGCCCAGCAGAGAAAAGTAGTAGAAACTACTTCTCAGTATGAAAGTTCTGTTGAACTGGATATTTTATTATTATTATTATTTATTATTTTGCCTTTATTTTTCAGTGGGCGGGCTTTCAGCCAAGGCTGCTCTACCAACCCAACCCACTATACATTTACAAATATCCATGCCCGAACCGGGATTCGAACTAGGGACCCTTAGCACCACAGTTCAGCTATCAAATTTGCTTGCTTGATTTATACCCGACACGAATTATGCAGATATACTCAAAGATCCTTCCAAATACTATTTTCCAGAAATCAGTTTTGAAGTGGTTCAGTTGAAGTATGTGGCTTAATACTCATCTTCCAATGTCATGATTAGTTTATGCAATTTATCGGCGGCAATAGATCTAAAGGAATTCAATTCGGTCCACTTTAATCAGTGTGACCTATATAATTAGATGACGTGACCAAACCTTCGCAAATAAGATAAGACTTTAATGATAGTGTTATCAGGTGTTGTCAATAAGAAATAAGCTGGGCATCTTAAAACCTTCATCCAAGATGATGGACCAACACCAAAAATTACAAAGCAGTTTTTCAAGATGGACGTGGGCAATTTTTATACTCCTGTAGGTTTCTATTATGTCAATAAAAATGTATCATTTATAATACTTTTTATTAGTAATTTCAATATTGTCCAGTTTCACAGATGATTAACGTTAATCAAAAGAGAATGGGAAACAACTTACCTTATAATCAAAGGTGAGTAACATTCTAATATTATCATTGATTAACCTTCAATCATCATTTGTGAAATCGGGCATATTTATATTTGTACAAAGTACAATACAGGTTGATCCTCTCGTTTCTTCGTTTCCATTAATCTCTTAATTCCTTTGAGGAGTTTTATTATGAGCTATAAAAATGTTTAAATATTGCCTGCGCTTTGTATATCTGTTCATCTGTTTCTATTTTAGCATGTGTTTTTCAACTGCTATATATGTCATCTAGTTATCAAATGAAAGTTTATTTTATCGGGCGGTGAACCTCCTCCTCTTAACCGTTTACGCTCTATAATAACCGTTCAGGCTGCGGAGAAAATAGAGCGAGGGGTAAAGGAAAAAAATTCAATTACTACAGTAATTTCTCCAGATATTGACTGGCCAAAATTTCTACACTGATCTCGTTGGGATACCGCCCAAACGCATTGTTTCAATACCCAAGAAGTGGATTTGACGCAATTTTGATGACCTGAATTTTGACCAAGACATATTAAAATCTATTTATACACTGATTTTATTGGAAAAATTAAAAACCTCTTAGTAACACTTTGGCGTACTGTGAACGGAAAAGATTGTTTACCTAGAATTAAAATAGTGATTTGTCAACTGTAAAGGCCTCCTTGACCTTGAAAAATCGAAAGTAAACTAAAAATAAGTTTCACACCAAGCAGGGCGGAATCCCAAAATATCAAATTCCATTTCGAAAATTGTTTATCAATCATACCTATTGTAAACTCAATCTGGGGACATACTATGCATGATAGTTTTGAAGCGAGCATTTTTGCCTAGAAAATATATCAGTTTCAGTGGATGATTTATCCGGGTTTAACAAATTGGGGTGTAGCTGAGGGTGGGTCATCTTATATTTGAAAATAACTTAATTTATATACAGGGTGTTCCATTTATCTTGAGGCAGTCGATTATTGTGGAAACTAGTGGGGATATCAAAAAATGATTTATATACAATAATCTTCATACGAAGGAGCTCATTCAATGATGCTATGCACAGTTTCAACTGTCCCTTAAAGGTCAAGTGAAGGGCAATATACTTTTTGAATATTATTATTCTACATCAGAAAACAGTAAACATTTTTTGAAGACTTCTATACAAAAATGCGATTTTTGGTTTGAGCTAGGAAGCTTGATCTGTCAAGAATTTGGCACATTTTTTTAAATAACCTTCCTAACTGCAAATTTAATGGTAAAAGTTCAAATTTTGTGTCTAAATAAAATGAGCTCTTAAAAGTTGCCTATAACTGAAATGGCCGGTCTGGATTTTGAAAAAACTCATTTTTATTTGGGCGCAATATTTCATTTCAACAGTGTAATAAGATGCATAATTAGGACTCTATTTCTGCATAAGAACAAATTAATTTATTTTGCAAACGCCGATAGCTGCGTGAAGTTGGCCGCAATAATGCGAGAGATAATGGTAACTTATTTTGCATAAGGTCAGAAAATTGCATTTAAACAGTGGCGCCTAATTATGCCTTTGATTAAATGAAATAAATCGGACATGATTCGACTACCATCACACATCTCATTTATGTAACAATTTGTTGTGATCTTAATACAAAACATTATTTATCTAATCCACGAATGAAAATGAAGGCCAATCCTTTTCTCTGCTTCATTCTTATTTGAATTTTAGTTTGGTTTCTTGTACTTACTGTAATGTGGATTAGGTGGGAGGTGATGGTCGCATTCAATTGCCGACAGGACTGCAAGCGGGTCAAGTTACGGCGACGCCCGTGCAAGGTACAAAAGAATGGCACCAATCGGTAACACCAGATTTACGAAATCATTTGGTGCACAAATTAGTACAAGCAATTTTTCCAACACCTGATCCTCAAGCAATGCTAGATAAACGTATGCATAATTTAGTTGCATATGCACGTAAAGTTGAAGGTGATATGTATGAAATGGCCAATTCTCGTTCTGAATATTATCATCTGTTAGCCGAAAAGATTTACAAAATACAAAAGGAATTAGAAGAAAAAAGACAAAAACGTAAAGAACAGCAGCAACAGCTTCAGCAACAACAGCAACAAGTTCAGCAACAGCCCGAGCTGCGACCTGGTGTGCCTGGTGTTGTCGCCGTAAATCGATTACCTACACGACAACAACCGGTCTTGAGAAGCAATTCACCAGGAGCGCTGATGGGACTTGCTGGCGTGATAAACACGACAGGAAATCGTATGATGTTTCCTGGACAAAACACGCCACAAAATGCTCAAGCAAACGTTGTCGGGTTACCAGGTCCCAGTCCAACCGCTACAAATAATCCAAGTTTATCACCGTTCGGACCTATGTCTCAACAAAGCGTATCGCAAAGTGGATCAACAACCACTCAGTTCTCAAACACAAACGGGCCGAATTTACCATCTACATCACCCGCAAGTAACCAATCTCAGTTCAATGAAGTCTCAAAACGACTGGCACCTTCTCCTTCCGCATTCGGACTTCAGCAATCCGGTGTATCTGGACCAAATCAAATTAGTACAAGTGGAACTACGCGACTACCTAACTCAACACCTGACATCTCCACGCCAGTTTCACATTCGATGGGTCCTACTTCGGTTAGTTCTTCGAGGGGTCCTTCTCCTGCCCCTTCGACACCTATCGTCCCATCTCCGTCGGCAGCTGGTCTTGGTAAGTCCACCACCGGGTTATCCATAATTGATAATCACGCATTAATTGTAGGTAAAGGCATGGGTAATTCTGAAAGAATGGGTCACGGTAACGGTGGACTTCAGAGATCTTTATCCGCACAAATGGCCGCGATTGCAGCGGCACACGATAAGGACGAAGACGGCTCACCGCATTCATCTGGAGGAATTAAGGGCAAATTAGACACAATTAAACTGGAAGATGCGACAACGATAGAGAGCAAGCCGGAAGAAACCGAAATAACAAATATGGAGAGTCACGGAGGGAAAGGAATTAAGACTGAAATTTCTCACGAGATTAAAACTGAACCCATGGAAGAATCTGACATAAAAGAAGAGATGCGAATTAAAGATGAACCGCCATCTACTCCCGACAGTTCTGTCGATATTAAGGCGAGCTCCACAAGTTTGGATTTAGTTCCACAACCAAGTATGGATAAAAAGCGAATTTGTAGTAAGTGTCGAGTGCCACGCCCAGATTCTTAACTTGATTGTTTCAGTTTTCAAACCGGATGAATTGCGTCAGAAACTAATGCCGACTTTGGAAAAACTGTATCGACAGGACCCGGAAAGTATTCCCTTTAGGCAGCCGGTCGATCCGCAAACGTTGGGTATTCCCGATTATTTTGATATTATAAAGAAACCTATCGATTTATCTACCATTAAGCGAAAGCTAGATATTGGTCAATACGAAGATCCATGGCAGTACGTTGATGACGTTTGGCAGATGTTCGATAATGCGTGGCTGTATAACAGAAAAACTAGTCGAGTGTATCGATATTGTACAAAGGTAATTTTTCGGTTTGTGTTCCAGACGGGTACAAACTTATATTTTAGCTGTCGGAGGTGTTCGAGCAGGAGATTGATCCCGTAATGCAATCTATGGGGTATTGCTGCGGGAGAAAATATACCTTTAATCCTCAAGTTTTATGCTGTTATGGCAAGCAATTGTGCACAATTCCAAGAGACGCGAAGTATTACAGCTACCAAAACAGGTAACGTATTATATTGACTGGTTAAAAATAAATTTGTGAATCGGATTATTTTTTCATACTTATAGAAAATGGGTATTAAATGTAGTAGGACAATCTTTAATTAAGCATCTAAAGTTACTGCATTTAACACTCACATAATCTAACACTTGTATTGTCATTTGGTTGAATTCTATTTACTTAGAGTTGCAATTTGGGATAAAACACCATCGCTGCACTTTGCTTAATCATATACATACACTTCATCATATGGTGCACTCTAAATGTGGTAATCTGAAAATTTGTCATGAATTAATGAGTCATGAATTTTTCTTCTATATATAAGGAGATAATGTCCGCCCATCAAAAACGTTTAATTCTTATTTGTTAAATATATGCAGTGTGAAACGAACTTTTAAACACTAGTATATTTATGGAAAGTATTTTCTCTAAGTATTGGGTGGACTACCTAAATATCAACTGAAGGATTTAATTCCCCATTTATCAACAATGCAGTGTGTATGTAAGGATAACCCTGTTACCTACTCGCAATGGAATAATTTTGATAGTTCTTTAAACAGTTTTAAAAAATTATTGTTAAAACATATCCTGAGTTATGGCAGTCATGAACTGCACAATTGCATCACGGAATATTCCTTTTTGAATGTGCAGAAAAGTTTTAATTTGTTGTAATATTGTAGTGTTTTCTTTCAGAAATCTGGATCGCGCGCATTATTTGAAAACACAGGGCAATGCGAAAAATGTATATAGGATAACTTGTAGAGTATTTCCCACAGAACTCTTGGGAATAGCATATGTCGATTTTCATCTGTTTATGAATAATAAGCATTTAAATGCGTTTGAATGTATATCCGTATTGATGTCTTTGCTTTGAATGCTTATAATTTGTAAATGGTATAAGACAGACATGTCGTTGAGGGTTTTTGCGTGAAAAATTACATAAAGCAGTTATTTATTATTAGTGTCATTTTTGCAATTTGCGTTTAGGATAATGCGCGAACAGCTTCTGAAAGCGGAAATAAATGGACAAAAGGCATGTGCGGATTGCTAACTTGCTCAAACTGATCAGTCATCATCAGTATTGTGGAAACACACACATTCTTGTGTACAGGTTGTATCAAATTTCGTGTTAAGTACAGAGATCTCGCTTATTAGCAAAGATAGAGAGTTGGTTAAATGAACAAACATTGTCGAGTTATGCCTAAAGAAAATCAAGAAACAACATTTGCCCCCTTTTAGATGAGATCATTTCCATCATCTAAAGGAACAGACAGAGTTTCCTAAAGAAACTATTTTAGATTTTCAAATATCTCCTCACATAACGATTTTAAAGCCAAAAAATAAAATCAATTATGTTATTTTTCGTCAGAAAACTTTAGAGAGGGGGCAAATTCCGTTTTTAGTGCACTTTCTCTTTAAAAAAATAAAAAGGCACTTTTGCGCTCTTGATGTCTGTCTGTCACATTTCAATCGAAAAAACAAATTTGAAAGTGCACTCTTCGCTTCTTGCTTACAAGCGGCTTAACGAATTTTTTGATTTTATTTAGTCATAACTCGAGGATCATTTTTGTTGATTTCTATCTATGCTAATAAGCGAGATCTCTGTACTTAACAAGACATTTGGTACAACCTGTATATTTTGAACTAAATGCGCGCGATCATGATTTTCATCAAAATCTGTAAGGCTCCCTTCTCACAAAGCGTTTTTGCAGCGCTGCAGAGTGGCGTGGCGGAGTTGTAGGGTACGCGATTGTATGGCATATCAGTGGCGGCTGGTGTATAAGGGCTGCAGAGCTGCAGAACCACAAAAAAATAAGCTTTATAGTTAAACCTATAATAATCAAACAAAGCGCGACAAGCGCGGAAGTTAAAAAGTGGTATAGTTTCCCAGCACAGTAAACGATGAGTCTCCGCGGACTAGACTATATAAACTTAGCAGTGCGATACGAGAAGGTGCTGCGCTCCAAATTCAAGGTTTCCCCTCACCTTGCGACACTCACGGAGGTTATTTTTAGTGTGTAGCTTTAACGAGATTTTAAACTGCATCTGATGCAGCCCCAGCTCGGTTCTCGGTGAGAATGGTTACTTGCGGATCAATTTTAAAGTTTTCGCGTATTGTTATACGAGTTTATACCTACCTTTTTTTTTTGTTTATTTTAATATTCGCATTAGAAATTGATGTCATTCCTGGTTTATTAAGTTAAAAAATTTATAAACAACACCTACGAAAAAAAATTAAATTAAAACAAGACGGGCGTCCATTTCCCCTATATTTTCATTGAAAAAGAAGGCTCGAGTGATAAACAGTATATAAAAGAATATTTAATCGCGAATTGTATGTACTTAAGAAACGAATCGATATGTGGGTGCCATAAGAAAAATGCTCTCTTCTCTTTCTCGTGTGCACTTTTTGGCGGAAATAAATCGTGTAAGTACACAAATTGGAGTCACCGATATTTAACACATTTCAATCAAAAAATAAGGAAACATGCCGATCCCATTTACATAACACGCTTTACTAGGCACAGTAAATATAAGAGAACAACTAGATTCTGTCTATTGGGTAAATATTTAAAAAAATTAACGAAGAAATGGCAAAGTTGGTGTGTTTTGTTTCCTCTATTGTTTTGTCTAACTAAAGTGATTGACTACATAAAAATTTGTGGAATGTTTGAATTGGCACTGTGAGGGCATGATGAGACGAGCGCCTCAGAAAATTCGGGAATTTTTCGGGGTTCAATAAATATTAGTGCAGAGCTTGCAGAACCTCTGTATTTGTAACACACGAGCCGCCACTGTGGCACATCATACTGCTACTGTGTAGCAGACACAACTGTTAAGTTGCTCAGTAGCGGTACCAAGAGGGCCAGTTGACACGTTTCGCTGGGCGCCCGCTGTTATGTACCCGCTTTAAGTGCATAACCGCGATGCTCACACTACACTATAAATAAATGACCGTGCAGGTTGTTTTCTTCTCCACCACTTCACAACGATTGCAAAACATACCTGAAATCCTCCCGCTCTCGCCTCTAAAAATTGTTTTCTTTCACTTGTTCTCAGGAACCATACAACAGGCAGAGGGATGAAACTTGCGCTATTCCTAGGTGTTTGTGTATGGCATTATTGATTTTGTAAAAATGTTTCCAAAATTCCTACTCTTAAGATGATGAACCCCTAAAGGGCGATGCGAAAAAAATTGTGATCTCGACAGAATTTTGTATTAGGGGCTTTTCAACATGAAAATTGGCAAATTATTAGCGCATTTGTTTAAGAATTACATTTACACGCAGCATCATCGCCATTTATTTATCTTGGTTTTAAAAACACCTCATACATGATATTAACCTTAGATCACATATACATAGATATGGCCTTCCATTTACTTTCAATAAGGAGATCTGTGTCAACATACTTAACTAAAGACAGATATAACACCGCACATGCAGCATAAAACTGCTGAAAATCATAGGCGGCGCAAAAAGGGGTCACTGTTTTGCAAATCAACTAACCCATGAAATGAAATTGCATTTTCTGTACTACTATGTTCACCACAAATTAAACACAGCATTTGAATTATTACTTTTGTGAAAACTACTGCAATATCACTGTAAATCCCTTTATGTTCTACAGAAAAATGACACGCCATTGAAATGCCTGGAAACTGTAATACTCCAGTGTGCATGATCAGTGTTCTACTTTTGGCTATCTCTCTTATAGCGTTTTCGATTGGTAAAACTCGTGCTGCACGAGTGTTGCACGAGAAACTGAAGAAATCCTGTGAAAATTGCTCCCAATGGAACATAAATATTTGCAGATATTTGTTGTCTTTTGTCCATAACCTCAAAAGACCAATTTTTGGCTTTCAGTTTAATGACTAAGTGCAACTTTTTGTAAAGTAGAAGTTATGGCTAGTTCATCATCTTCGCTATCGCTAGATGACGACAAAAAACTCTCCAACGCAAGAAACAAATTCAAATTGTCGCACATGTTTGTTTTGAAAATTTGTTAACTAGCAGCTCCACGAGCTCTCGGACCTCGTGCGTCGAAATTTGCGCTGAGTGCGTAATTGTTGCATCACATTTGCCAATGGAACACAGAAAATTGCCCTAAATTTACGAATAGAACGTAAAAATTGCACTCGTGCAGCATGAGTGTTGCCAATCGAAAACGCTATTACATATGTTATCAGATTTAGTGGTTGTAGACAATAGATGGCGCGGAAGCCAAATCATCAAATGAGCATGCGCTCCAGCATAATTTTTAATAAAATTGTTACAAAAATTACAAAATATTATGTAAAACATAACTGCATTTGCAAATATCAAATTTGTTTTTAAAACTTTTTGTTGAAATTGTTTAAAAAATTTTGGTTAAAACGGCTCTAAAGGTTGGTGCCAGTGAACGGCGCTGGCTGCACCTCCTTACAAGTTTTGATAAATTTTTTAATCGCCTTGAGATAGGGGAGCAAATTCTCCTCGAACAGCCACCAAGCTGATTTAAAGTATCGAGGATTCCTTTTGATATAGTAAGTGGCGGATAAAAATGAAACAACTATCAAAAGCGAAATATGCTTAAACACATCAATGTGGGCACTGGTGCCGTTTTGATTATTTAGAAAATATTCCATGTTGAAGTTGCAAACATGCTCATTCAGTGTTTCCATTATGACATAATTATAGTGTTTCAACATCACGTCTATGGCAAGGAAAACGATATTGTTAAAGAGCCAGATCCATATTCGGCTATTGGAACCATTTCTCAAACACTTAAAGAACGATTTTTTTTAAATAATTATTTTTACATTGAGGTATAAGTAAATGTAGATCAAAAATTAGTCTCGCTCCCTCTTCTCCATTTGGGGAAGAAAAGTAATAGATCACTCCCTTATTCTATCAAATACAAAATTTGAGTTTGGCCACTAGTTAAAAGCGAGTTGGAGGTAGGTATTGCCAAAGATAAATTGCCAGCATTGGATAAGTTCAAGTGTGAACCAATTCGAAAATTCTGCGGAAAATTACTGTTACTAAGCTAATTTACTGTTTTAGTTAGACCCTTCAAAATTCATACTGGCGGTTGCACACATAAACCATGTGTCAAAAAAATTTTTTAACCTCAAAATATGTGAAATGATTTCAAATGGAAGCGTTTTAATTTTCATTTCTATATCTCAAAACGGTTTGAGCATGAAAGCTTTGGTTCCATTTTTAATAACGACCCTGTATAACATCACAACTGATGGTATTTGTAAGGTCCAAGATCAAATTGAACGCTTTAAGTAACTATTGATGCATTTTAAATTAATAGTGTTTGCTGTCGGATGTAGATAGTTCAGGGATCTGATTTCGCCATTTGCTATCATGGATCATTAAGTAGTCTGTAATAAATTGTTAATTACTGCAACAGTTTGCACATAGCGATTATCATATTATATTGCTTGCATGTATACATTGCTTTTAACACGTTCTCTTTTTTTTCCCGCTCTCTTCGACCACCTTCACCTAACAATCACATGATGTGCTTTTCACAATATTTGTGATGTTGAACACAGTCTAAATGCTTATGGACTTGGATCCAACAGATATACATTCTGCCAAAAGTGCTTCAACGATATTCAAGGCGACACCGTAACACTCGGCGATGATCCCACGCAAGCTCAAACGTAAGTGTGCATTTGTTTCTATCATTTCGTTCATCACTAAATTTGCGAAATGTTCAATAGGGCGATAAAGAAAGATCAGTTCAAAGAAATGAAGAATGACCATTTGGAAATGGAACAGTTTGTGCATTGCAACGAATGCGGCCGCAAGTTACATCAAATCTGCGTGCTTCATTTAGACTGTATATGGCCTATCGGTTTTTCTTGTGAAGAGTGCCATAAGAAGAAGGGATCAAAGCGAAAAGAGAATAAATTTAACGCGAAAAGGCTGCCGACGACAAAGCTAGGTGTGTATATCGAAACTCGTGTGAATAATTTCTTGAAGAAGAAAGAAGCCGGCGCGGGTGAGGTACATATTCGTGTAGTGTCGAGTTCGGAAAAAGTGGTCGAAGTCAAACCGGGTATGCGTAGTAAATTTGTAGAGTGTGGTGATCTTTCCGCCGAATTTCCGTATCGTGCAAAGGCGTTATTTGCATTTGAAGAAATTGACGGTGTAGATGTGTGTTTTTTTGGTATGCACGTGCAAGAGTACGGTTCGGATTGCCCTGCACCCAACACCCGGCGAGTGTATATAGCATACTTAGACTCTGTTCATTTTTTTAAGCCGCGACAATTTAGGACCGCAGTGTATCACGAAATATTGTTAGGTTATATGGATTACGTAAAACAATTAGGTTACACTATGGCCCATATTTGGGCTTGCCCGCCGTCTGAAGGTGACGACTACATTTTTCACTGCCATCCTGTGGAGCAAAAAATTCCTAGACCAAAGAAATTGCAAGAGTGGTACAAGAAGATGTTGGACAAAGGCATCATCGAAAGAATCGTTTTAGATTATAAAGTTTGTAATTATATTTTTTCTCGTTTCTGTTTTTCATCACACTTTTTGTAGGATATACTCAAGCAAGCAATGGAAGATAACTTACGGTCGGCGGCGGACTTACCTTACTTTGAAGGTGATTTCTGGCCTAACGTTTTTGAAGAGAGTATTAAGGAATTGGATCAGGAGGAAGAGGAGAAACGAAAGCAGGCCGAGGCTGCGGAAGCGGCTGCAAATGCGGTACGTATCATATTTTGTTAACCCCTCAATTTTGATAAGCTCACTTCATTTTAGATATTCTCCTTGACCGAGGAAAACGAAACGGGTCCAGATGGAAAGAAAAAAGGGCAGAAGAAGGCGAAGAAGAGCAATAAATCCAAAGCTAATCAACGAAAAAACAGCAAGAAGTCGAATACTCCACAAACTGGCAATGATTTGTCGGCGAAGATTTTTGCCACTATGGAGAAGCACAAAGAAGTATTTTTTGTAATTCGACTTCATTCTGTTCAATCTGCTGCTAGTTTGGGGGTAAGTATTGAAATTAAATATATTAAATCAAACACAATGTCAACTTCTAAATATTGTTTGCCTTTGTTTTCTTTCGTATTTTGCACCGCCAAAGTCATCAAAGTTCACAAATAAAAAAAATGTGGGTTCCATTTTTGATCGTTCTATTTAAGGACCTACTGTTACTGGCATCATTTTCTCAGTCCATTATCAGCCCAAATCATGGAAATTAAGATCATCGCTAGTGGAGTAATCATTCGCGTAACATTTGTTGTTTTTATTTTTTTTGGCTATTTTAAATGGGCAGGATTTGGAAATCAAGAAATAAAGCTAAATCCACAGTATCAAAAATCGTCACATTTTGGATGTGTGTATTACACATATGGAAACGATAAATAATGTCCTGGATTAGAAAATTACTGTTTGGTGCATTTTATGGGCTAGCGGAGTCATTGGTCCATGTTTTCAAAAACGATGATGGTCAGAATGTCACTGTCAATGGTGAACGGTATAGGGACATGATTAGAAATTTTTTTGTACCTCAATTAGCTAGTGTTGATCTTGCTGACATGTGGTTCCAACAGGATGGAGCGCGCGCTACAATTGATTTACTCAAAGAAACTTTTGATGAAGGAATAATTTCACATAATGGTCCAATTAATTGGCCTCCAAGATCGTATGATTTAATCCTATTGGATTATTTTCTTTGGGGTTATGTAGTCCTTGTTTACGTCAATAAACCAGAGACAATTGAACATCTGCACTCGCCAGCCATGGCGGACACATTGTCGAAATCATATTTAAACATTAATGTCATACAGTTTTCTATCTAATAAAGACTGTTTCATTGATATTAAAAATATATTTTTTTGTTTTATTAAGATTTAAACTTGTGTGCTTCTAAAAGCGCGTACAGACATGCAACAGAACATCGTAACGTAACACAGGTGCGTAACAAGTTTGGACGCAACTTTGCAACAGCGTAACGGTGAAACATCGTAACATTTCGGCGTCTCATCCGTTGTCGGTATTTAGTCGTCACATCAAAGGGATGTTACGCATTGATGTTGCACATGGTATATGCATGTTTGTACCATTTTGCGAACGTTTCCCATTTGAATTGTGGATTCACCTGCAATTTATTTTATTTATTTATTGATCTCATACATGAAAACAAAAGTAAGAGATATGTCGATTAAACTATTGGAAAAGGCTAGCCTAGCTATTGATACAGAAAATCAGATATATTATAGTAACAATTTTGGATTAACATGTGCTTTAATCTATCTTTGAAACTCCCTTTTGTTGGTGCATCTATTATCTCCTTGGGCAGTTTGTTATAGATCCTAATCGTCATACACTTAAAACTGGCATCAGGCAGCCTTAATCGATGTTGTGGTAATAGTAACTTCTTGCCGAATCTTGTACATCTCCCGTGAATGGCTAGGTTTGTACGAAATTTGTTGAGGTTCCCTCTGACATAGTTAGCCGCCTCATATATATACAGAGAGGGTAATGTCATTATGCATAGCTCTTGAAATAATGGTTTGCAGGATACCCCACTTTTGGCACCCACCAAGCATCTTATAAATTGAATATGGAGTAGACGAAAGACGCTGTGCTAAGTGAAGTTTACAGAAAAAAAAGATTTTATTGGATAATAAGCACCCCTTTTATTATAATAAAATTTAAAATACGACGCGTGGGTAGAAATTGCGCCAGAGTTCAAAATCAATTGTTTGTGTATTAAATAGTACACACATTACAATATAAGCTGCAACATTCTTTAACAAAAAAAATTAGAAACTGATGGGACGGTAATATGTTACATGCCAGTGTTACAGAGCGGTGTTCTGTTGCACCTCGCAATCCAGTGACACTGTAACGTCGTCCTCCAACGAAAAATGTTGCATGTTTGTACGCGCCTTAAAAAAACAGCCATTACAACCTTCAAAAATTATGCTAGATTGTATTATAAAAAAAAACGGAAAAAAGTTAAATATCGAATAATACAAGGTGGGCCAATAGTATGTGGACGGACTCTTGTGGGCTTATTAACATACAGTTAACTCTTAAGGTTATAAACCTAAAATATTTTCACTTCGATTGGAACCCATATACAGGGTGATTCATGTCAAAGTTACATTTTTTTAATGGAACCCCCGTATATTATTGGGTATTTGAATTCCTTGGGTAATTTTAGTGTGACTTTACGTCACACTTGCTACCTAAAATATCGGTTTAGCCACAAATCGATATTTTAAAAAAAAGTGTATGTCTGCACAATTTCAGTATCACAGATACTGTCAAACTTAGTACTCTGTGACTTTGTAGAATTACTTGCAGCGACCCTCAAGAAGGAAAATAAATTAACTAACTGAATGACCTTGTTAACCTTACACGACAAAGGCAAAAGATTAATTAAGAGGCACTTTACAGTTGATTGGATATTAGCAACTTCTATATTTCATGTAATCAATTGCAGAGCAAATTCGTCACGACGGTAGCAAAAATGTGCAGCAATGGAAAAGACACAACAAAGGCTGCTACAGATTACGTGCACTTCGGCAGCTCCTCTGATATTTCACACAGAACATCTGATCTTAAATACCTTGTGTTAGATGAGTTCCAGCCAGGGACCCGGACCGGACCAAAAAAGGACCGAAACCGGTATTTTTTTCTGGACCAAAAACCGAACCGAAACCGTTATTCCTTCTGAAATGGAAACGTATTGAGAACCGGAACCCACAGTACTTTTTTCGGTTTTTTTACGGTTCTTAACAGGTTATTGGAAGTTGAAGGACGCGTCGGAAACTACGTCCTGAAAATTGATAAAATATTACTCTATGATTGCCATCGGTGGATTATAAATTTTTAATAAGGTGTCGAAATTGAAGGCTTTACGGGTGGCGGTGGCGCTAATTTAGCCACTACTTAAAAAAAATAAAAAAGGAGGGGCGAGGTTTTAGAAAATAAAATTTTCTGTTTTTTAGTAATAAATTAAGTGTAAATACATATTTCCCTCTTCCTCCTGTATTCCCCTTGTCGTTATAAATTAGCTACACTGATGATACGTCACGTTTTGGTATTCATGAGTTCTTTTTCACACCTATTAATTAACAAATCACGTTGTTCTAATGAATTTTTTGAATGCCATACTTTCTGAAAAACTAGAACCGAAAATATGGACCGAAAAAAATGCGCAGAACCGAACCGTTATCTTTTTAGAACCGAAACCGGACCGGAACCGTTATAAATATTTTCACTTAAATATAAACAGAACCGGAACCGATATTTCATTTGGGTTCGGGTCCCTGGTTTCAGCTAAGCAGAACATCTCAACCATAGTTGGCGAACTAGTTTTAGTATTTCATAAGAGAATGGTATTTCATCCATAGCATTGTTTTAATATTCGTTGCACGTAAGATACATATAAAACGCCATGAATAAATGGGTTTTGGAATGCGATACAAGCAAAAGAAAGACAGGTAGTAATAGTAAAACATATGGCATAACCTCAAAAAGATATCAACAGTACCCCATTCATGTAAATACGTTTAGATATATAATTAAGACAATTTTAGCTTGATGCTTCTGGATTTTCAACGAGATTTCTGATTCCCAGTTGTACCAACTGCATTCCTAACACACTAAAAGCGCATTCAATCAATTACCTACTCAAACTAAGGGTACATTCAACAAAACAATGAGATGTTACATACTTACCATGACATGTACCAATGTAGACTGGGCGGGTAGGTTAGAATTCTTTTTACGTTTTGAGAAATTCATTTGCCAATTTAGAAAATTTTATTCATAGATAATTTGATTTTTTCAAATGCAATCCCGCGCTTTTTTTATTTTGTTAAATGCGAAATTTCATCATCTTTCTAACGATATAAGGTTATTAGTATCTGTCTTTGTTAGTTTTCTTTTAATCTCACATTTTTATACTAATACTAGTTTTAATTTTTCAGACATAAGTGGCTAGTAGGCCGTAAAAAATAAACAAATGTCAAAATTGGTTCCTACATTAGATGAAGGTGCTTGCAGAAGGTTCCGTTCTGTTCTTATACTTATTTCTAATTACGTTAAAATAAATTAGGGATAATGAATCATTTTCCTCAAAATGAAATGATTGATACTCGGTGTACTAAGTATGACAATTACTGCGATATTAAACTAAAACTAAAATTACCAGAAGAATCCAAATATGCAATCATGTAACTTTGGCATTAATCGAAAAATTAATTCAGGTAGGGTAATCTTTATTATCATACACAAGAATCATTCTTTACTTTCTTATCGCAAGAAAGCTATACTTGCACTGGTTCTTGCACAAGGGACGCCTTTTTATTGAAATGTCAACAAGAAAAGTTCCTTTATTGGGGAAAAAAAAGGAAAAAGGCCAACGTTTTTCATTCCTCCGGCACCCCTGACTACAGGGATACAGGAGGCGGGCTGCTCAGGGCTTCCTGGCCCTCTTCAGCCAGAGAACGGGATTGTAGGGATGGGAACGGAAGGAACGGAGTTAGGGTGCTGAGGGGGAGAGTACTGCTCCAGCATTTGCCTCGTAGATTTCAACATAATGCTAGCATTATGCGAAGCTACGTATGTCTGAGGAAAACCCCCTGACAAAACCCCAGACAGAGCAGTCGGCAGCGGGATTCGAACCCACAACCTCCCGAATAGCATCGGCGAGCGCGACCACTGCGCCACGTGCCTCGGTTTATTGGGGAAAGATACCTTCCATAATACAGCCGAATAATATGTAGACTTTGTGCTAGGGAAACTTTATGATAATAGGAGAATTGGACTAAGTTTTTCTTGTTGTTTCTGATATTAACAAACTTTATGGTAATGTGTTTTAATTCCCATGAATATCACTTTCTTGCTGTGGTGTACAATCTATTGTATAGAGTTGTGAAGAGAGGGGAGAGAATAGCTGTGCTACTATTAAGTACCTTGAAATTTTATGAGAGTAAAGATCAAGATATATTTAACGGATTCAGTAAATGCGTCAACCTTCATTATTTGCTATGGTTTGTAGATGGACTCTTTGCCCTTTTCTTTTCTTTTTCCTGTTATAGGATTCAATTCAATCAAAATTAGGCTGTGGTTTGGCAGACAGATCGAATGGCAGTAAAACAAACCACCTCCGCTCCGCAATATCATAGTACAGTGACAAATACACTTTGTCCAATTAAATTCACTGCAATGCGTTTTTGACCCATGTCTTGATAAGAAGATTCGGTGCATTCCCTTAACTTTTTATGTTAATATTTTGAATTTCAATAGTAGTTTGTCAGGTTAATATTTGGACTTAATTAACTAATTAATTAAATTAATTGCACAAGAGCACATGTGATACTTCTAATGCATGTTATGTCTTTACAGCCTATCCAAGACCCAGACCCATTTATTAATTGTGATCTCATGGACGGAAGAGACGCTTTTCTCACCATGGCGCGCGAGAAGCATTTCGAATTTTCGTCGTTACGTAGAGCAAAATATAGTACAATGGCTATGCTATACGAATTGCATAACCAAGGTCAGGACAAATTTGTATACACCTGCAACAACTGTAAAGCGCACGTCGAAACGCGATATCACTGTACGATCTGTGATGACTTTGATCTCTGCATTCAGTGTTACGAAAAAGACGGCCATCCTCATAAGATGGAGAAGCTCGGCTTGGATATCGACGACGGTTCGTCGCCTAGCGATCATAAGAAGGCGAATCCGCAAGAAGCCAAGAAATTGTCAATTCAGCGGTGTATACAATCTCTTGTACATGCTTGTCAATGCAGAGATGCTAACTGTCGACTGCCAAGTTGTCAGAAGATGAAGCGTGTCGTAACGCATACGAAAGTTTGTAAACGTAAGACTAATGGTGGCTGTCCCATTTGCAAACAACTTATTGCCTTGTGTTGTTATCATGCCAAATACTGCCAAGAAACTAAGTGTCCTGTACCTTTTTGTTCTAATATTAAACATAGATTGAAGCAACAACAGTTACAGCAAAGATTACAGCAAGCTCAATTATTACGAAGACGAATGGCTGTAATGAACACTACTTCAACGATGCAATCTGCCAACTCCGTTAATGCTAGTAGTGTACCTAACTTATCATCTGGCGGGCAAAATGTGGTTCCTGGGGCTGTTAGCCCTGCCAACTCCATGAACCCTAATTCAATGGCGACTACCGGCATGGGTATGCAATCTCCTCATCAGCAAGGAATTGGCATGAAACCAGGAACACAAACGCCACCTGCGAATGTACTACAGGTTGTGAAACAAGTTCAAGAGGAAGCCGCGCGACAGCAGCAGCCTCATGTGGGATATGGCAAATTAAATCCCTCTGCGGGTGTTCCAGGACAAACAATGCCACCACCTCAAGTACAACGCTCCATGGGACATCTAGCAACGGGACAAGGTAATATAATATAATTCATTTTAAGTATATCATTAATCGTTCTGTATTAGGGGGTAATTTGTTACCAATGGAACAATGGCAGCAGAGGTACACAGGTGGGGCGGCGCAGGGAATAAGACAACCGGGACCGCAATTAATGCAACAACAGCAACAGGCACAGCTAGGTCCAGGTCCAATGCAAGGTGGTACCCCGACCGTTAGGCCGGGCGCTTCCACTTTAAATAACCCTGGAAATGCTCAAATGCAAAAGCAAGCCTTACAGCAGTTGATGCAAACGTTAAGATTGCCGCAGTCGCCCGACCAGCAACAACAGATTCTGCAGATACTAAAATCGAATCCGCAACTTATGGCCGCATTTATAAAGCAAAGACAGGTAAGGTTTTTTTAAATTTGGAGTTCTAAATGAAAGTCAGTTCTGGTTAGTATTGGTGTTTGGAGATTGTCACCTGAGCCATTCTTCTCCCACTTGTTCACTATTTTATTAAGTGTGGCTGTTTTACCGTCTTTAGTCAGTATATTAAGTGCGAGTTGAATGTAGTCTAACAATGGTAGGCTTTCGATCCTAACAAACTTGTTAATATCGTGCAGTTGCAAGTCTGTATGGTGTGATAAAGGATAGTTTGAATTTAGTTCAGCTGGTTGTAGTAGACATTGTACTACTAGTTGATTCAATGAGAAAAAAAGAGGTTGAACTGAAAAACCAGATGCATTACCAACAGATCTCCATTGAAAAACAAAGGTAAAATAAATCAGAAATGTGATTGTTTTTCAAATCTCCATATTTAGACCTCTAAAGATTAAACGAACTTTCCTGAGTGAAGTTTAACCTTGATGTGAGGCCTCGTCGAAAATAAATAACCCCTGTATCAATGCAGCTTTTCATATTCGTGAGAAGGTCAAACACGTTTTAAAGTAAGTGGAGAAGTGGGGACACCTAGACTAAGCGCAGCGTAACAGCTGATGTGGTGTACGCATCGACGTAAGAGCGCATACACTCTGTCCATGTGATAGAAGCAAACAGAACTATCAATTACATTAATTTTAAATAAACCCGTAAAGGGGAACATTTTCTTGTTCATCACAAGGAACGTCAAATAGGTCATCTAAAAACTAGGTGTAAGAATCGAACGTTATCTAGGTCAAAAAAATATCTGCCACAAGATAAATATGGAAAAATAGCGAAAAGCGCTAACAATATTATGAGCGATAATATTATGTTACCCCAGACATATTGGCTTGGTTCCACAAGCCACCATATCATAGTAGGGAACCCCAATAGAGGATTTTGGGATTTACTCGAACGCGTCAGATAAAAATTATGGTGTTCAACATTGAAGTTGTCAAGTTTGAAAGGAAACTATTGTTCGCGTTCATCAAAAGAACTCGATGGACGGTTAGATTGTGTACCAGAATGTTCCAAACAGGAAGTTTGTTTTGTAGAAACTGCAATTTTTCGAAAATTTCTTTATTGATTAGTTGTAGATCAATTTTTTCCTGTTTGCTACTCAAGGCCGAACGGGGACGGCACCTACGGGAATGTTTTGACATGATATTAAAAAAAATTTTAACAGAAACGGGAAATGGCGTTCAACTTTCAAATAAAAGATTGAAGTTGGAAATAATACCTCTGAGAAGGGATACTAACAGAAGTCGCAGGGCGCTGTAATTTTTATTAAAAGTTGGAACTCGCACAGCCTCAGTGCGCAATTATGGAACAGTGACAGCTGATTTTTATTTTTGTTTTTTAATTTGCGATTTTGGTGTATTTGTACATAAAGACAGTGCAGTGATTAAGTTCATAGAATTGCAGTAACGTGTGTTTATACTGGATTTGTACTTGGTAACAAAATTAGACCGGTCACATTTTAAATCCTGGCAGTGTCCATATCTTTACAATATTAAGGAGATGTTAAGATGCGCTTAAAGACTGATCTTGTGTTGGGTGACGAAAGCGCACTGGGCATACTTTAAATCCTTGGTGACTTTGTATGTTAATAAACGTGTTTTATAATTAGATTTATCATTCGTTCCATAGTCACACTGGACACATTTTAAATTGTTGGTAGTCTCGTGTGTCACAATGCCATTGCATATATGCAGTGTTCTACCTACAATGCAAAGTACAGTAGCGGCCAAAAGTTTATCACAATATAGTTTGTCGGTAATAAGTTTTCATGGTATTACCATTGTTTAAATTAAACAATGGTATTACTACAGAATTATTAGATGTTTTTAATAAATAACTTAAAAAAAAGAATCATTCCTACAACAAATAGTGGCTGACTGACTCGAATTGTTTTTCATATCACTTAACGGGCAGTTGCACAAAAAAACAGTCCAGAATTATTGTTTAATCCGGTATTAAGACATTCGATTGACTTTATATTGCAGTAGGCAGCCAATTAAATGTCAAAATTCTTGTTTAAACTCAGATTTGGCACATAATGTGGGATTTGGATTATAATTCGCTTTCTTGCAACCAGCCATAAATAACATATTAATATTTAATTGCCAACCGTAGTGAATGTAATGTTACAATGGAAAAATCAAATTGTGATACACTTTTGGCCGCTACTGCATACCTCTGTGTTAGATAGATATGTTTCATGATGCCAGTCGTTAGTTATTTTAAAAATGTAAATCAATAAAAGTACAACTTAAATGTAAACTCCAATTTATAAATACAATCATTGATTTTAAATAACGTTTAACCTTTAGAAAAAACGTGTCTTTTAATAAACAAAATTCTTATAAATTTCTTTTAATTTTGTAAGCACTCGTGGAAATTTATGCAACAGCGCAAGAGGTAATAGATTCAAATTAAAGGTAATTGCCACGCGAAACTGCCATATTTACGCACCAAGGCTGCGCGAGTTGTACTTGAGACAAAAAAACATCAAAGGAACTGACACGAAGTGCGACTTCTGTTGGTATCCCTTTTCTGGGATGATACTTCACGGTTTAGTCAAGGGCCCGTATGAATAAAAATAAGCAAATGCTTATACTTGCAAAATTCAAAGTAAATACTCGTAACTGCCCCTTCATGCTGGTCTGTTTAGCAGCACTGCACTGCGTCCTGTCCTGCTGCTCAGCAGCGCTGCTAAGTCGCCCACTGGGAAGGAGCACTTACGAGTATTTACTTTGAATTTTGCAAGTATAAGCATTTGCTTACTTTTATTCATACGGGCCAAGGTGTGTCCACCTTTCCGCCTACTTTGAAACGTGTTCGACCTTCTCACGAATATGAGAAGCTGCATTATACAGGGTATTTATTGAGACGAGGCTAAAATATAATTTTGAATTATAAACTGATTGATCTAAGAGATTAATTTATTATTTCAAGATTACATTAGCTGTGTTCAGTAGTAGACACCCTATATGTTTTGTAAATGGCCTTCCATATGTGCACCTTAATATCACCTGAACAACACTGGTCGATGAGCAGTCTGTAAGTTTCCTTAAAGGCCAACGCGCACTAACGCGGGGAGGGGCGTGGCGCGGCGAATCGCCTTTTTCGCTCACATTGCTTTAAATAGGTAAACGCTCAAGCGCGGCGCCGCGTATCAGAGTATGAAAGCAATGTTAGCGAAAAAGGCGCTTCGCCAAGTGCGCGTCGGCCTTAAAGTGAAAAATGGTTGGATGTGTTTAAATTTGAGACATAAGGGCGCTACTTTTCCTTCAGTGAAATAACTTTAGATTTTCAGTAAATGTGTAATGGGTTGGGTTGGTCAGCTGATGCATTGTGCACTTAAAAAAATCAATAAAATAAAAGCAATCCGATCCTGAAAAGTATACAAACATGTAGGTACCAGCAAAGATAATAGTACACTAGATAGACACCGTCTGTATAAATTGTAAACGCTCAATTTTGTTAGCAGGATATGTCGACTCTGTCCACGGAGAACGTTTTTACCACGATAGTAGCGATTCTTCACTGCATTTGCAGACAATATTAGAACAATGGCTCCTTATATTGTGTGTTAGTCAAGCGGGGCCTTATGTAGGCGTATCACATTCTTTCACTGTTCTTTTTCTGCTCTAATTTAAATTAATAATATATTCCACACTGAACAGTTACAGGCCGTAGGTATTTCTTATAAAGAATGGAAGGTACCTTCAGTTTCAGCCTGACAATCTACCTGTTCCTGTTTACAATTACACAATTTTGACATGTCCAAAAAACGGCTATCACAATAGCTACCTAGCTCGTGCTAGGAAGCTAAAAAAGTTTTTGACAGTCTTACATCTTTTATGCCTAATGTGGACCACCAAAATTTTAACGAAATAAAAATAACCGTTTTGGCGAAAAAAAATATTTTAGCTTTTTGTCTTTGACACTTTTTTCTCAGTTTTTTTGTCATAAAACCTGACAGAAGGTCTTTGGAAGAATTTAATAAAAATAAGTTATTTAAAAAAAATTCGATGCCGTTATTTTAAAAATTCGACCCGATCATAGGCAATTAACATGGGAAAAATGTTGTTTGTAGATTGTGCTCCCCATGTTAACTTAAGGGGTTTATAATGACACGTGACACCAATCGAAAGAAAGATTGTTTTCTCATCTAATCACATACGAATTAGTTAATTTTCGGTTGCATTTCTAATTATTTCATAAAAAATTTGGAAATAAATGCAATTACCAAAATCGTGTAAGCCATGACTATTAGTAAGACAAAAAGCAGATTCAAATTCTTTAGAAAATTTCCAATTGAGTCATGGCTTAACGTGATTTTGCTAATTGCTACTTTTGTTGAATTTTTTATGAAATTATGAGAAATACACCTGAAAATGAACAAATTCGCATATCATTAGATGACAAAAAAATCTTCTTTCTATTGCATGGGGTCATTATAAACCCTCGGAAGTCGGAAAGTTAACCTACGTGTGGAGCAACAATCTGTAAAAAACATTTAAATTTTTTAACATGTTAATTGTTTATGTTCGGTTTTGAAATATTCACCAGTGTCCCTGAATTCAAAATTTTAACGCTGGTGTGATTTAGTTTCTCTGGAAAATATAAATTCGAAAAACGGTCAAATTTTGAGAAGAAAAGGTGGCGAAATGGGTAAAGTTAAGGATATGCTGTGTTACATAAAAAATAAAAAAGTACTCTACAGTATTTTTCAATTACTCAATAAAATATGGGGTGTTCCATTTAAAAAAACGGATGTTTGATACGCTAGTGAAATACAGCACGCCACTGGTGTCCAGAAATATTTTAAAAACATTTTTGCTCCTGCATTTTTTCCCGATATCTTTTATGGTAAAGTCATTACTCATTACGATCCGAAGGAGATGTTACACCCTGTATAAAGTACATATATACGTAGCGGAAATTCTCAGAGACGCCTACACAAATTTTTTGCCTTACCTTTAAATGTAATTTAATATATGTAGATACGTAAACGAATGTGGGGTAGGTCAAGGAAGAGATAATATAATGCAGCTCATGTGTCGAATACGTACGATTATCGCTTCCGATGATAGGCTTAATTGCAAAAGCCCCCTATATCTTTTTTATGGAACTAAATAAGCAGTTTAGCAACTTGCCCATTTACGGTGTCTATCTAGTGTAGCATTATCTTTGGTACCAGACACATTCTAGTAGTAACAGAAGATGAACATGAACAGTATTCATGCTACCTCAACATGTCATCAGAAAGAGAAACATTTAAATAGAATCAGGAGTGGCTGTTGTAGTCAACACATAGCATCCATGAACTTTCTACAGGCATGTCTAATTTAAATTAAGGCAGTACTTCTCTCGATGGTTTCATAACAAAAGAAATATTACCTTAAAGAAGTTCTAGTTCTTTTTCCGTCTAGAAGGTATTTTTAACTTAAGCAGCAAAAGTTTCGCGAATCAAAATTATGAAGTTACACCATCTTAAAATGGAAATAGCAAACGTTCATATTATTAATAACTGGAGAAGATACTATTCATTTTTGTAAGTAAACAAAGTTTAGTATGAAAATTTTCTATTCAAAACAGTGAAGAAACGTGCATTTTTGTACGGCACAGTAATGTTTTACATGATTGCAGCACCCCCTGCAAACAATATACTACATCATCATAAAAGATGCACTACAAATGGAAAGGTACTTTTGTATGAAGATTGTGTGTCAAAGCGGTATTGAGTTATTAATACAATATAACTCCATAGGGGTACAATTCTGTATCAAGTCATGTTTGATATGATGAGGTCAGCATTACTGTTGAAACATTTATGCCCGGTTTCACAAACAATGATTAAGGTTAATCAATGATTAAAAATATTACAATGCTAGCCACCTTTGATTATACGCGCATTTGTTTGCCATTCTAATATTTTTAATCACTGATTAACCTTAATCATCGTTTGTGAAACCGGGCAGTAGTTGATTAAATTATTATTGTGACTTCCTGCTCGTTGTTACTATATTCGTTGCTATCATTTATGCTAGTACTTCAATTGTGAACACCCCGTATAAATTTTTAAAGATCAAGTGGGAAGAAAGATGGCAGTGACAAGAATTTGAAAAATATTAACAACTTATTTTTGTATCCACACTAACTGTACTATGCAATCTTGTTAGTACCGTATTACAGTATTTTGCTCCTTTTCTTTGTAAAACTTTTTAATTGTTATAACATTTTATGGATTGGGATTGTGATGTTAAATTGTAGATTTTGTTCTAGCAGTAGAAAAGAAAGTTTTTAAACTTGTTCATGGTTGAAGTAACTGAAATTGTGTATTACAACAAATTGTTCTTTGCTACATTTTTTATTACAATCTGGTAAAGGAACTATCCCATTATCATCTTGTTCAAACCATATAATGCAATCAATGCCTTCGCCCTGGTACCATGTAGGAGAACTTGCACTTTTAAAGATTATGAAAATAATAAATAGGGCTCACATTGATTTATATTTAACTTTTAATATTCAATGTAAATCATTTCTTCATAGGTACTGCGGATGTAACTGAATTTAATATTGACTATCAAATCCAGTTGCTTTCTTTGCCCTTGTCCTGATTCCCGCCCGTTACCCTCCTACCATTATGCATGGACACTCGGTATTATCTTAGTGTAGTGTAGGGAACAGATTGGTTTTGTAATGGAAAGCATATTACAGGCCCAAGCTCAGGCTCAACAAGGAGCAGGAGCTGGAGTCGCAGGAGCATCGCCGCAGCAATTACAGCATATGCTAAGTCAACAACAGACTCCGAACCAACATCAAAATCGGATGCAAATGCAGACCATGTTAAGTCAAGGTCCGGGACAAGGACCGGCGCCCGGTCCTCCCGGCCAACAAATGACCCAACAACAGTGGTATAAACATCAGCAGCTGCTCGTCATGCAAAGGCAACAACAGCAACAGCAGCAACAACAGCAGCAATTTCAACAGCCACCTGCACCTCCATCATATCAGCAACGGCTTCCAGCAATACGACAACCGCATATGACTTCCTACAACAATACGTTCTCTGAACAGCAATACGCCCCGATGCAAGGGTTAAAACCGACACCTCCCCCAGTGCCATCTCCTCAAAGTGTAATGGGCCCGCCGCCCGGAGGCATATCTGTTCAGCAACAGCAGCAGTTAATGCAAAGTGTGCGTAGTCCCCCGCCTATACGAAGCCCGCAGCCAAATCCGTCATCCAGACCAGCACCTAGCCCTAGGAATCAACCTGTGCCGAGTCCGCGAGGTACGCAGCCATCCCCCCACGATCTGGCGACGTCGGAAATGCTCCTAAGTCAGAACCATACGAGTAGTTTACATCCGCACACATCGCCCGCAAGTCAAAATCAGGATAGCGGCGAGGTACCTCCTATGACACCGCAGGACCAACTGACAAAATTTGTGGAACAGCTCTAGTGGTGAGTGCTGGCACAAGCGCTGTTTCCTCAAACAGATTAGTTGAGTGGTGCTGTGTACGGAACGAACAACAATTGGAACAAAAGGTTGATTTGTGTATACTTAATTTATTCTTTATCTGGCTAGTTCGGCCGCCTGTAAAATATGTATAGTAAAAATAATTTTAATACTGACTGGACAGATACTAGGAGTCCTGTTATGTGATTTTAAATATGTACATATGTTTAATACGCTGTATTATAATGTTAGTAAAATGTTTACCTATCATATGAATGATACCTAAAAGTATTTGGCTTTGCGAGGCTGTGTTATTTATCTAAATGGATTGTTACCTACAAAGGTACTGTGCATAGCTACGCACTGTTGCTATTTGTTTTTATATGCTACGACCGTGACAAGTTATGATAGTGATGCTGTATTATAGTAGGCAATTTTTACCGAGACTGTATGTAATTGTATCGGTAGCTATTGTGATGGAGGCGTAGGCCCCTAATTTGTTTTTATAACTATAATATATTTATAATTTATATATTGTCTTGTTTATCGTATGTTACATTCCACGGCCGTGGAGTGGTGCTGGCATCTGACAATCGTGACTTCGCCAGTGCAATACTTACACCACTCTCCCTCCTTTAATTTATTACTGAACATTTGAATCAACTAGAGTAAGTAGTGTTAAGTATTATTCAAAGAAATAAAAATTATATAATACTTTGTCTTTTATTTTTTACTTTTTTCACTGTAATCCTATGAGTAATGATGTAATGTAATTTTTTTTGTACCAAATATAGATTGTGATTATCTAATCTTTAATTACGTACATATATATTTATTGTTCAAATTCCTTCCTAAGTAAAGATTTTCGAAAATAAAATTAGAATTTCTGTTTTAATGTCGATTTCATTCCCGTTCACCTGTAACTTATAAACAGAAATTTCATTCATGAAGCCATTGCATCTTTCCAAAAGAGTATATGTTTGAGGGTGATACCTGTTTTAAATGGGTTGATCTCAAATTCTATCCGTACGGAAACAAAAAAATTTGCCGAGGCTCGCACAGATACCATCTACGCATGCGCAATTCTCCCTTTCATGTCTAAGAATATGTTTCTAAATTTTTTTCCAGTTGGTTTAGCCGGAAATAAGAGTACAGATGGACCGACATCATCGCCATTTTTTATGATTCGGATTCCTGGTGCTTCAAAACGTGTATATCCGTAAAAAAACTGGGGTTCGTTTTTTACCCCATCGTTCTGGAGGAGACTGAGAGGACGCCCTCATATTTTAACTTTGCTGTGATTTAGAGTTTTCTGCCTATGACTTGAGCCATCCCACACACTCAAAATCTGGCGAGGAATCCTTTAGCCATGCATTTTCTTAATTGGGAGATGTAACGGTCGCCACTAGCAAGAAACTGTAATTCGTGTTTTATTCTCTGCAAGCCATGACCATGTGATTTTTCAGTTTACAGTGCTTGTATACTCATAAGCAAATGTTAAGTCTTTGGGTGAGCCAAGGTCCCCTTTGACCTTATATTTTTCCTGGCCAAAAGGCTTACGGAATGCTGAAAATTCTTTTTTCGAATAAAAATGTGTTGACCTTCAACGTAAAAGATTTTGTGTGATACCTTGGTCCTTTCTCATTTCAATTATGGAGATGTTGTATATGATAGGTGTATTGATTCGGTTGATAAAAATAGACCAATTGGTTTAAAACGCGTATTTGAGATTTATGTACGGCATTCGTAAGTAACAACACATATCGCATACCATTGACAAAGCTGGTTGGCTTACCATGAGAAATAGACGATTACTCCACTCTGCCTGTACTTAATTCAAAATTATTCTAACATCCAAGCCGCCCTACCTCTACAATAAAATTCAGTTCCGAACTAATGTTCATAATCTCAACATTAGACGTAAGGATGAGCTAACTATATTTCCCAACATCACCTTGAAATTTTCGAGAGATCATTTACATATAATGTAGCTAATTGTCTTAACCGCTTACCGTTCTCTTTTAAATACCTGTCCATTTTATATCTTTAAAAAGCAGAAGCTAACGAACCTGTTACTGAGCAGAACGTGGAGTATGTAACGTTTACATTCCTTTAATCTTTCCATCAATCTTTTTTTAGCGCATTTTCCAACGAAGTTGGGTGCGCTATTGCAGCTACTTTCTCTGTCCGAGGCCCTTATGACCATTTGCACCGACAAATTTAAGCGGAGCTTAGGTTAAGCGTAGTTTAAAATCCATGGCAACCATTGTCTCAATAATCGTTGCCATGGATTTTAAGCCACGCTTAAGCTAAGCTCCGCTTAAATTTGTCGGTGCAAACGGCCATTAACTACTCCTACAGTTTTCAAGATATTAAGTTAGTTCGTTCTTTTTTGCATTCGGTAGCGTATAGCTCTAGCACCTGAGTCAAGGAGAATGTCAACTTCCTTAATAATAATAATAATAATAATAAAAACAGCACTAATGAAAAACTCATTCCACCATCTCTACACTCACTCCAGCAATACTGGTCTGACTTATGGACCAAAGACATTAAACACAATCCACACGCCCCGTGGATTACCACAGAAACCACACGCACTGAATACATTACCCCTATGAATAACACAAACATCACTACAACAGACATCATTCAAACTATTAATCACTTACATAACTGGAAAAGTCCAGGCATTGATAACATTCACAACTTTTGGTGGAAATATTTTACCTACACTCACTCTTACCTTGCACAACAATTTACTGAACTTCTTAATTCACCAGATCGCACTCCTGCATTCTTTACACAAGGTATCACTTACATGCTCCCAAAAGACAACAATACACAAGACCCATCTAAATATAGACCAATTACATGCCTTCCTACAATTTTTTATTTTTATTTTATTATCCCTCTCTTGTTTTGGGCCCTCAACAGGCATGCGCCCAATTACAGAGTGACCCGCATAATGCTATTTAGAGGTGCCTCTGCAGAAGGTCTTAAGATGGTCTATACTACTCCGGTATTTACCTTACGAATTAGGAAAACTGCAGGAAAACCTAATTCGGAGTAGCCGGTAGAATGCTCGGAACTGGCCTAAGGTAATTTCCATCTCCGCCACAGATGAAAAATTCACCTCACCCCAGGTTCGAACACCCGACCTTCGGATTTATAACCCAATGCTCTTACCACTGAGCCATAAATCCTTACATCATGCATTACAAACAAAATATACCAACACTGTACTGATAACAACATTTTATACGAAGAACAAAAAGGGTGTACCAAGTATTCCAGAGGATGTAAAGAGCAACTCATTATAGACTCTGTTATACTTGAACAATCCAGACATAACAAACGAAACATACACACTGCATACATTGATTACAAAAAAGCATTCGATTCAGTACCACACTCTTGGTTACAACAAGTACTCTCAATATACAAGGTCAGCAACAATATTACACAATTCCTCAATTATATAATGTCATGTTGGAACACTACGTTAACACTTACACTAAACGACACAAAACTTATTACCGACCCAATACAAATTAAAAGAGGAATTTTTCAAGGCGATTCTTTAAGTCCGCTCTGGTTTTGTCTTGCTCTTAATCCACTTTCATATTTGTTAAACACTACTAACTTTGGGTACAATATTAAACACAACCACGAAATACATCACAACATTACACACCTGTTTTACATGGACGACCTTAAATTATACTCTTCCACAAGCATAAAACTTAATCACCTTCTACACATTACCGAAACATTCTCACGTGACATACAAATGGACTTTGGAATCGATAAATGTAAAACACAACACATCACAGCTGGTAAAAGGCAACTTTTAGATTATGAGCTAGAACAGGGTAATTTAATAAATTCCATGGACGAGAATGAAACTTATAAGTATCTTGGTTTTCAGCAAAATACACATATTAAACATACGAGTATAAAGCAAACACTTATCACACAATACCTACAAAGAGTACGCAGTATACTTAAAACAAAATTACACGGTAGAAATACAATCAAGGCTATTAACACTTATGCCACACCAGTGCTTACATACTCTTTTGGGATTATACGTTGGACAAATACAGATTTAGAACAAATACAGAGAAACACACGTACACTATTAACAAAACACCATATACATCACCCTCACTCCTCTACTATACGACTTTACCTTCCTCGTTCGGAAGGAGGTAGAGGACTTACAGACATAAAACTATTGCACCAAACACAAATACACAATTTACGACAATACTTTTATAACAAATCAGATACTTCAGTTTTACACAAAACAGTAACATATGCAGATAAATCTTACACACCACTTAATCTACACGAAACTAATATACTCCCACCCACATCCAAACTTACATACATCACAAATAACATACAAATATGGAACCAAAAGCCTTTACATGGACGATTTCCACAAGAGGTTAGCCAGGGTTGTGTTGATTCTATAGCAACGCACAGTTGGTTGTCTGAATGTGATATCTTCCCGGAGACTGAGGGTTTCATGTTAGCAATACAAGACCAGGTCATTAACACACGTAACTATAAAAAACACATACATAAAGACAAAACAGTGACAAATGATTCTTGTCGACTCTGTTCACAAACATCAGAAACAATCCAACATATAATATCGGCATGCACACGACTCGCACAAACTGAATACAAACATCGACATGATCAGGTAGCTAAAATCATACATCAAAAATTAGCACTTAAACACAATCTCATAACAGATACTACTACAAATACACGCCACAGATCATACTTGAAAACAACACACACAAATTATATTGGGACAGGACACTACTCACAGACAAAACTATCCACAATAATAGACCAGATATTACACTTATAGATAAAACACAAAAATCCATTTGTATTATAGACATTGCCATACCCAACACTAACAACTTAACTAAAACACATGCAGAAAAACACCGCAAATACACCGATATAGCTATCGAGCTTAAGACGCAATGGAGAATGAAATCTACTGTTATAGTTCCCATTATTCTTAGTGCTACTGGAGTTATACCAAAGACAATACACCACAATTTACAACTATTAGGTTTAGACAAAAACACATACAAACATTTACAAAAAGCAGTCATTATCAACACATGCCATATTGTTCGTAAATTTCTAAACATAACACAAGATACTACATACACAAATGATCCACAACGTATACATGTAAACAACAGCACTCCCTCACAACACGGTACACAACATACTGTAATATCTCCACCTCTAACCCAAACAAACACACAAATACAACTTACCGAGCAAACAAGTACAACAAATGATACAACATATACTACAATCAGAGATTCACCTCTGAAGCAAACCACATTATCACGACCCATTAGTATTCAACCCAAACGCAAAAGCCTAAACAGCACTTTAGACTCACAACATGACACACAACATACTGTAATATCTCCACCCTTAACTCAACCAACCACACAAACACAACTTCCTGAACAAACAAACGCAATAAATACAAGTAACGCAACATGCACTACAAAGACGCCCTCACTCAATAAAGTTACACGGCCTAGCACAGCTAAAAAACACAATACTCTTTCTTCTCAAAAACACACCACGTTATCACAACCCACTCGTACTCAACCCAAACGCAACAACCTTAACAGCACTACAGGCTCACAAAATACTGTAACGTCTCCACCAATAACCCAAGCAACCACACAAATACAACCTCAAGAACAAAGAAACACAAGAAATACAAGTAACGCAACATGCACTACACAGACAGGTCCACCCAATAAAGTTACACGCCCTAGCACAGTTAAAAAACATAAAACTCATTCTTCACAGAAACACACCACGTTATCACAACCCACTCGTATACAACCCAAACGCAAAAACCTAAACAGCACTACTAGCTCACAAAATACTGTAATATCTCCACGAATAACCCAAGCCACAACACAAATACAACCTCAAGAACAAAGAAACACAATAAATACAAGTAACGCAACATGCACTACAAAAACAGGTCCACCCAATAAAATTACACGTCTTAGCACAGTTAAAAAACACAATACTCCTCTTTCTCAGAAACAACCCACTCGTATTCAACCGAAACGCAACAACCTTAAAAGCACTACAGGCTCACAAAATACTGTAATGTCTCCACCAATAACCCAAGCAACAACACAGATACAACCTCAAGAACAAAGAAACACAATAAATACAAGTAACGCAACATGCACTACAAAGACAGGTCCACCCAATAAAGTTACACGCCCTAGCACAGTTAAAAAACACATAACTCCTTCTTCACAGAAACACACAACGTTATCACAACCCACTCGTACTCAACCCAAACGCAAAAACCTAAACAGCACTACTAGCTCACAAAATACAGTAATACCTCCACCAATAACCCAAGCAATAACACAAATACAACCTCAAGAACAAAGAAACACCATAAATACAAGTAACGCAACATGCAAAGACAAAGACAGGTCCACCCAATAAAGTTACACGTCCTAGCACAGTTAAAAAACACAAAACCCCATCCTCACCGAAGAACACCACGTTATCACAACCCACTCGTATTCAACCCAAACGCAAAGCCAAAGAAACACTTACACAATAAACTCCATTTAATAAAATTACAGGAATTATTATAATGATTTTTGTTTTGTTTTGTTTTCCTCTTTCCTGATAGCGTTGGCTTATTGTGCCCATGTGTGATTTTTTTTTTTTTTTTAGAACCCTACATAACTTCACCAGACACAGACACAGACACTGATCGTTACTTGATTTTAATCCGTGCGATTAGTTAACCAGGCTAGACCTGAGTTCTCACAAGAAACACCGACCATAATAATAATAACTTTATTGTCTGCGATCAAGTACCTTGACATAGACATCGTCATACATTCAAACATTTATGGACATTTAAAATTTTAAAAAGTCAATTAAGAATAGTGTAAACATGTTAACGCTAAAGTACGTGTTACAATTAAAAATCACTTATTGAATAAAAACAACGTTCGACTAAGTATTTTTTTAGGTTCGTTCGATACTTCTTAATGTTTGTGATGTTTTTAATATATAAACTCCATTGTAATATGGACCCCTTTCGTATTATTTATTTTATTAATATATTTTATTGAAATTTTAACTACAGATACTTGTAGTAAAGGCAAATATACTCAGTGACATGGAAATTGCAACACCAAGAAGGAGTTGGAATTTTTTTACCAAACTTGGCAGAAACGTTTAGCTACTAAAAGGTAAATTTAAAAGAAAAAGGATGAAATATAAACATTTTTATTAATTTTTTTTTTATTTTATTTTTTTTTATTTTATTGTTATTTTATTATCCCTCTCTTGTTTTGGGCCCTCAACAAGGCATGCAAATTTAAAAGAAAAAGGATGAAATATAAACATTTTTATTAATTTTTTTTTTATTTTATTTTTTTTTATTTTATTTTTATTTTATTATCCCTCTCTTGTTTTGGGCCCTCAACAAGGCATGCGCCCAATTACAGAGTGACCCGCACAATGCTATTTAGAGGTGCCTCTGCAGAAGGTCTTAAGATGGTCTATACTACTCCTGTATTTACCTTACGAATTAGGAAAACTGCAGGAAAACCTAATTCGGAGTAGCCGGTAGAATGCTCGGAACTGGTCTAAGGTAATTTCCATCTCCGCCACAGATGAAAAATTCACCTCAACCCAAGTTCGAACACCCGACCTTCGGATTTATAACCCAATGCTCTACCACTGAGCCATAAATCCGATTAAATTAATAATAATAGTAGTCCCTCCCTATTGCTTACGCACTCCCTCTCGCTTCGTAGCATCGATTTTAGCAGACGGCCGATTTCCTCTTGAGGTATTGTGTCCCAGGCAACTGTGAGTAACCTCTAATTCATTGTGTAGAGCTTGCAGCGTCTGCGGAAGATGCGGTAAGTTCATCAGTCTTCTCTTCATAATGTCCCAAACTTGCTCGATAGGCGATATACTGGGAGATCTGGGTGACTATGGCAAGAAATTGACATTATCATGTGCAAATAAGTCCATAGAACGTTTTTCAATGTGGAGAGGGGCATTATCCTGCTGGAAAAGTGGGTCTTCCAACTGCTGAAGAGATGGAAGAATATCGGGTTCTATCACGTCATCCACATATCGCTGGGGGGGTCATATTACCTCGAATGAATAACAAACGAGCCCTACTCCCATAAGTTATAGTACTCCATACCATAGTCCCCACAGCTTAGTGCACATGCCTCATAACAGAAAATTCAACATTGCGACGTTCCCCACGTCTTCGGCTGCCCTTCAGACGGCCATCATGCATACCCAAACAAAATCGGGATTCATCTCTGAACACCACCCAATGCTACTCTAGGTTCCAGTGCAGTCGCAACCTACACCACTCCAAACGCTGCTAGCGGTGTTGAGCTGTTAATGGTAACAAAAGATGTGGCCGATAGGATTGCAAGTCGTAAGCTCTGATTCTGCGGTAAACCGTTCGAAGTGTTACAGGACGACCTTCGTTAGCTAACAATTGATCGGCAATTGACCTGGTACTAGAGAATCGGTTTCTTGTTGCCATAAGTCAAAGATGGCGATCCCGCACTTCAATTGTTCTTTTTCGCCCCCCACCCTTTCCTGCCCCCTCCCTTTCCTCTCTACGACGATCCTGCCCCTTCCCAAATCCATGCCCGATTGCAACGAATCATGGTATGGTGGATTGACTTCGGTTAAGGTGACTTGCAATTTTTGTGAACGAAAAACCACCTCCGCCCAAACCAACAATACGACACCTGTCAACTTCTCTTAATTCGCAGTAATTTCCACTTTGGCGTATCTAGGCATGATCACAGCCTCAAAAGAAACGATTAAAAGCGAAAACAATAAGAACTGAACAAAATCTCGCAAAACGTACACGATATAAGAATACTAGAAAAAAATGAAAGAACTGTGAAATAAGCCATTACCACTTGATCCATATGAATGAAATTTTAATCAATTGTTACCTTTTAGTAGTTAAACGTTTCTGCCAAGTTTGGTAAAAAAAATTCCAACTCCTTCTTGGTGTTGCAATTTCCATGTCACTGAGTATATATCGCATATAGTAAAAATCAGTTGTGCGCATGCGCAGACTGCGCAATGGCAACTTTCTTATGGAGATATTTCTTTGAAACTTTACCCAAAGCTGCTTTTAGTATAAGCAAACGTATCTCAAATTGTAAACATAAGATTAATGCGCGCAATATCAACTGTTATTTATCGAGATATCTTTTTTAAAATTTTAATCAGATGCTCCTGTTAATGGCAAGCATAACTGATATTGCAAAAATTAGATGTGCGCATGCGCAGTCAGTGCCAACTTCTTTATTTATCAAGATATTTATGATCACATGTATATAGTAAAAATCGAAAACTATAATACAATAAATGTCATTAGGAAAAGCAGACACATCGCACATAGTAAAAACTTAGACCATAGTAAAAATCAAATCCACCCATGCGCAGACTGCAAAATGCCAATTTTTTTACTTATGAAAATCTCTCTAAAGTTTAACCATAAACTCTTCTATACTGTATTCATTTTAAGAAAGTATAGCGATAGAAATCATAGTTGAGCTTCAGTGCGATTAAAATACGAGTGGCGAATTTTGCAAGCTGGTAGTTTCTCTTGCCATCTCAACTGTTGAAGTGTCATGAACTGTTAATGTCAAAGATTTCTTTTTGTTTGCAGTGCTGGATATATATATATATATATATATATATATATATATAGAGAGAGAGAGAGAGAGAGAGAGAGAGAGAGAGAGAGAGAGAGAGAGAGAGAGAGAGATAACTGCGATATTCAATTTTTACTGGATCTCTACTTTTTTAAAAACCACGAATTGCGACTAAACTACTCATTTTAGATATCATGTGTAATACACAAAGTCACACTAAAATTGACCAATGAATCGAAATATGTAATAATATACAGGTGGTTCCATTTAAAAAAATGCAACTTTGATATAAATCACCCTGTATAACAATTGCAATTTCGGTGAAAATATTTTTAGGTTATAGCCTGAAGGGTCCTTCAATATTCCCCCACAATGAATTTTAAATATGCGCGTTAATACATCCACAATCTCCCACCTACACACTAATGGCCCACCCTGTATATGGTTACATGCCTCCATGCCAGCTCACTTCTACGTGATTGGTTGTAGGTTTGTGACGTATTTAGACTGAAGCGTTTCAAATTCGGACTAAAAACACGGCTTTTCAATAACTTATTTTGGTTTTCTTTACTCGCAAATAAAAATTAAGGACACACGGGTCTTTTTATTTTTAATTTACTTTGTAGATCAGAAATAAAATATGAAGCCGGAATGCCCCTATTGAATCTCACTAATACCAGGATCGAAATTTTGTTGCGGGATTGCATTCTCTACATACATAACTTTGCTGCTCTAGGTTCCATCTTACTATTATGATTTATTTTGCTGACCCCCTTATCCTAAATTTGTACTAAGGTACTCCGAACAACTTCCTTACCTATTTAAAAAAAAAACACATTTATTATTATAATTTTTAATAAGTTCCCAATGTCTCATACAAAAAATAATTATTCAACAGGTCTCATCCGCAATATGACTGGAACACTCGTACAGGGTAAGACAGCAATTTCGGTAACGACGGCAGTAACAAAATCTGATGGTGTGACATCGTACATTAAATTTAATGGCGTTAAATAATTATTATTTCGCCAATTTAATAAGTAGCTACTCTTCTCAGACACATCAACGGTGACCACTTTATCAGGATCGGCTAAAAATGCAGAAATGAAATACAGAGACATTACTTTGTGTAATTTTACCAATTTCATTGTAGACGAAGGAATCTGTTTGCACCCTTTCGCAAAACTTGTATGTCTCGCAACATACCAACACTGGTTTTTTAAACGAATTTGCAACGAGCGCCACTTGTGCTGTTCCCGTCCGTGACATTACATATCCATTGGCTAAGAGAGCGTGAGCACCTAATAACACTTTCGTGACTCGACCCATCACAAAACTAACTGCGTTAATTAGAAGATAAGAGCATTCAATATTGGCACATACAAGTCGTCTAAGCATTTCCCTTCCTTCAAGTAAAGGTCGCCCGTCTAATACAATCACACGAAATTTCTTCCCAGCCTTCTCGGCGTCAATGAGAATTTGTAAAATTAATGAGGAACTAAAAAAACATTTCATTTAATATAAGTCACTCTATTAGAAAGCACATACTATCCATAAATTAAAATAATATCATTATCGGATATCTTCTTATTAACCTCATTACTAATCGCCTGGCCTGCTATAACTATTTCTTCCTCTATATACTTATCAATACGCTTTTGAAGTGAACTTTGTTTAGCGCCATCGGTTAGATTGGTGTCGATTTGTGTTAAAAAAAATTTAAATCGTCTCAGAGCATTCGTCATCGAGACAGCGAAAGGCCTACAGGTTTTGAGGTGATTCATCGACGTTTTTAACGTGGATTCTAACGAACGACAAAATTCTTGCTTTGGGGGCGTTTGAAAATCGTCTATTAGGGTTTTCAATGCGGAAAGCATGGCCAAACACCTAGCATTCGATCCTAAAATTGATCTAGACAAGTATTGGGCACCTAATTGTAAAAAGGCAGGATGAATGTCCTTATTTATAGTGTATTTTTTTAAACTTTGCACCTGAAAGTCTTCGATATATAAGTGGTGGAATAATTGGACCCTGTGTTTAGTGGGAGACTTTTCAAGATCTTTTTTTGGAGAAATCCTTTTCGGTGGCTCAGCTGCATTTGATCGAATGTTATTTTTTGGAGTTTGATTATCGTTTGTCACGACTTTCTGACTTGCTTTTGCTTGTCGTTGAGCTTCCTGTACCGCACGTCTTTGGGCCTTGAGTTCAGCTTTTGACAACTCCGACGCTGCACTAATTTTCTCAGATTTCTCTGCATCTTTTCTGTTTGTGTTTTGTGAAATCACTGCCTTTACTGTGTCTACATTTGATGAAGATTTGGCAGGCGTACGTTGCTCAGGATCCACTCTCTTATTATTATCGCTTACGGGAGGTGGTATTACATGTTTTTTTGGGTGACTTAACTTTTCAATGGTACTCGATTTGTTTATTTCTGTGCTTTTCTCCGTTTCAACTTTCAAAGCTCTTCTTTCTTTCTTTGTAAGTCCATCAGCTCCGACTTTTTTACCTACAGATGGATGATGCAATAATAACTAGATTAATTAAAAGTATATATTTTGTGGCACCTTTTTTTCCTTTATCATCCATCTTTATAATCCAATAAGAATTTAGGTATATCTAAAAATGATAGCACTTTAAAAATACAACACATTCCATTCCGGAGAAAAGTACAGTTAGTTCTGCATTTTAAAGGTTAAAGTTAAAATGATAAACCCATAGACTATAGACATATGAGAGTTGGTTATGTCTATAGATAAACCTCAGTAACAGTCTCTCCGCTAAACCTAAACGCGAATCCTTGTCATAAGCAGGCCGCAGTCGCTTTCTTTTATAATAGGTGATACAAAGCCGTTTGGATTGTCAAATCACGTTCTTTCGAAGTGCGATCTTGATTGCTAAAATCGTGAACAAACGGAACATAAATGTTTTATGATTTGTTGACTGATCACGAATTCCTAACCTATACATGCAAGGATATTTTTGCTCAAACACATTACAAGTCATTATTATTATTATTAGCGGCAGAGCACAGCGATGCAAGCTTTATAGGCAGAGTTGCCAACTTTTCGTTCACACATATCGCCAAAATGATCTCTGGATATCGCCAAAAATCGCAAAAGTTGGGATTTCTTAAGATCGCCCAAATCGCAAGGTTTTCCAAATAAATTTCACAATAAAACGACAAAATAAAATTGAATTTATTTCATATTAAAAAATCCCATATTCACAGATAGCACAACAGATAACAATAAAACAACAGATATGCGCGCATGTAAATACTACGTCCTAATGAGACTAATGAGAATGAGAGAAATTAAATGTAAGAAGTTCCCGTAAGCGTTTTCGAAGTCGCCCAATTTGCGATATATCGCAAATGTTAAAAAATGAGAGCTTTTTTGGATTTTGTATCACCCATTTTGCGATAAATCGCCCAAGTTGGCAACCCTGTTTATAGGGGAGTCGATGGTGTTCATCTGTCCGATGTCGGTGAACACGATAACTGTCGAACGCTTGGACCGATTTGGTTCAAACTTTGCAGTTGACCTGTATGCCACATGTAATAAGCCTATTGAAAATGGGTCAAATCCAATGACCCCGTAGAGCACCGTCTCTCTGCCTCTGGCAAACGCTTGAACCTATTCGGTTCAAACTTTGCACAGTTAACATATATACCACACGTAACAAGCCAATTGAAAATGGGTAAATTCCAATAACTCCGTGAGGTCACACCGAGGTGCTCTGCCGCTTTTTTAGACGCTCTTTATGGGTTGATTTATAACTGAAGATTACCATAATCGTGCAAGTACTTCTACTTGTATTTAAATTATTTTCATAATTCAAATGCAAATGTGTACTCCGTAAGCTTAACCATACATTGATTTAAATACGTATATGTAGGTAAGTACCTACCCAGGGCCGGCTCAATGCAAAAGTTACATGTAAGCAAGCACTAAAATTTGCGCCTCTGTACGCCTTGCCTGAATAATGGGAACTGTTGGCAAGCATGTTTTTAAAAACCCAGACTGTTAATTAATGTCATGCGGATATTTTAGGGGGCAATATAGTACTCGTCAAAATAGGGAAAAAATGCAAATATGGGCGTGGTATTAAGGGGGTCATTTCCGTTATTAATACAGGGTTGCAAAGATCCAATTTTTCTCTCGTATTTTGCGTTTGTCTCTCTTTATGTTCTGGGATAATTTGATACATCAATTATTTTTGAGAATCTCTACACTAAAGTAGAATAGTTGGTCGTGGTATACAGTGTTACATTTTCCTTCTCACCCTGTATAACGAAAACGACGTATAATCCAATATGGTGTCCATTTAAAATATGAAAGTTGATGTCAATATCTCGAATACTGCCTTTATGAAAATTTTTTGTCTATTTTGTTCATTGAATTTATCCCCTTGAATCTTGCAACTTCTATTTGAAACTTTTTTCGATAGGTCTATTTGTTACTGAAATATTTGAACTTATTAAAAATGGCGATTTTCACTTTTTATTAGCGCATTTCCACAAAAATAAAAAAAATGCGCTATTGTGGCCACTTTGTCCGTCCGTCCGTCGACCGTTCGTTGAGACGCTACTAGTTCTTTATCTTAAATTGTTCTACTTTTTTCGCTATTTGGTTCGTTGTGGTATCGAGGCTTGCACCAAGGGAGGAATTTTTTCTGCGTTTATTGCTAAAAAAGTTATTGTAAAAAAACCAACAAACCGTTTTTTACATGTTCCATAATTTTACGCTTTTGCCGTTTATTAACGATCCTAGAGATCGTTTATAATTTTGTATTGCTGTCTGTCGGCTGTCTGTTGATTTGTCCGTCTGTTCCTTTTTCTGTCTGTCCTTCTATCTGTCCGTGTGAACGATAACTTTGGTTAGAAATGTCCGATCGCTTTGACATCTCCGTTAGTTATGAACTGAATTGCATGAAATTCAATATGGGCATAGCTTTAGCCATATAATACGCAATGCCAAAAGTTGAGTCGAATCGATTCAAAATTCACAGTGCCCTTTTCGCATCTCGACCATTTATAAACCGAATTGCAAACTTTTTTAATTATACAAGTATTTAAATGAAACTAGAGGGGCGTTTTTTCCGCCGCGGTATCATCGTAGCGAAATTTTCGCTACAATTGCAACTACACGGGAGCGATATTATCGCTGCGGAAAAGAATACGGCCCTCACAATGTATCGCTGCCAAATAAACGCTAGGACCGACGAATCGCAGCGGAAAAACGCGTCCGGTTGTGTTGAATTCGCTCACGCTAACGGAGCCAGAGCGGAGAAGCGTGGAAAAAACGCCCGTCTAGTTAACGAGCTCCTAGCGAGTTTATAATTTTGTGGTGTCTGTCCGCCCGTCCGTTAGCACGATATCTGATAAACGAATGAACCGATTACGATGAAATTTTGCAGGTGGATTTTTATCAAATATGTAGATCGGAGTTCGTGAATTGGCAATGTGGCCCAAAAAATAAAGCCCTTTCGACATCTCCGTTCGCTATGAACCGAATTGCACGAAATTAAATATGCGCATAGCTTTAGCCATAAAAAACACAATTCCAAAAGTTGAGCCTAATCGAGCAGCATTCACAGTGCCTTTTGCGCATCTCGGTCATTTACAGACCGAATTGCAAACTTTCTTATTTATGAAGGTATTTAAATGAAATTTGATACATAGCCACTTGGAATAAAAGCAAATTTCAAAATTTGGTTTTGCGCATGCGCAGTGCCAACTTTCTTATTTATGGAGGGATTTAAATAATATTTGATAGCCACTTGAAATAAAAGTAAATAGCCACTTGAAATAAGAGTAAATTTAACGCCAGTTTCAAAATTTCATTTTGCGCATGCGCAGTGCCAACTTGTTTATCTATGGAAGCATTTAAATGAAATTTGATAGGTACATAGTATTAAAACCTTTTACATTATCGCCTTAAAAGGGATTATAAAAGACACGAAGGTATCCATTTTATTTATTGTCAAGAAGTACAGTACCATAGAGTACATAAACGTGTAAAACATAAATTATTTTCATGTAACAAAACAGATGGCGCTTACAGTACTAAATAGAAACTATTTGGAGATGCATCAACATTTTAACACCTCCACTGCAGCGAACAAATATCTAAATTTTACTTAAACCAAGTTCAAATAAAAACTTCGTATGTTTAACAAAACTCAAACTTTTAGTTAGTATATCAGCTGTCATTTCTTCAGATGGCAAATATTTTAAATCAATTAATTTTTCAGATATTGCTTCTCGAACGAAATGATGTTTAATATCAATGTGCTTGGTTCTACTGTGACCTACAGGATTAACGGACAACTTTTGAGCACTTTGATTATCGTTATGTATCGTTACAATATTATCAAACCCAGTTAATTCTAACAACAATCTTTTTAAGTAAATGGCTTCTTTTGCAGCCTCAGAAATTGCTACATATTCAGCTTCTGTACTAGAGAGACTAACACAAGATTGTTTTTTACTTTCCCAAGAGACAGCCCCATTGCAAAGTTTAAAAACAAATCCAGAATAAGATTTTCTGTCCGTTGAATCACCGCCCCAATCACTATCAACAAAACATTCAAGTTTAAATTCATTACTCTTTTCAAATTTCAAACAGTAATCTTTAGTTTTGTTTAAATATCTCAATATTCGTTTTGCTTGTTTCCAATGAGTTTCATTAAAGCATTGAATAATAAAGCAAGTATTGAATTGACTCATATAACTGACGCTGAAAGCAATATCAGGTCTAGTTAAAACTGATAGATACATCAAACTTCCTATAAGCTGTTGATATGGAAACTTCATATCACAAGTATCTGATTTATCTAAATGTATATTGGATTCTAAAGGCATGTTAATTCCCTTACAATCCTTCATATTGAACTTGACCAATAACTGTTCAATGTAATCCTTTTGATCAATAATTATTGTTACAATGTTATGTTCTTTGTCAAAATTTACGTTTATGCCAAGACAATGTTTCATTTGACCCAAATCTTTAACTTTAAATTTTGAACTAAGTTCTGATTTTACAAAGTTAGATTCGTTCCCATCATTTGAAAAAACAAAAAAATCGTCAACATAAAGAGCTATAATTGTCAATAAATCATTGTTAAATTTCATGAATAAACATGGTTCTAATTTTGATTTGACATAGCCAATGTTCGTTAAAATTTCATCTACTTTCTTATACCATGCTCTCGAGGACTGTTTCAGCCCGTAAATGGCTTTATTTAATTTTAGAACTTTACCTTCTTGTCCCTTAACCTCAAAACCCTCTGGTTGATACATATAAACATTCTCTTCTAAATCTCCATTTAAGAAAGCAGTTGTCACATCCAAGTGACTAACATTTAAATTTAACTGAACACTTAAACCTAACAAAAGTCTTAAAGTCGAGTACCTTACAACCGGTGAGTAGATTTCGTTGTAGTCCACACCTTGTTTTTGTTCAAATCCTTTTGCAACTAGTCTGGCACGATAGCGCACTTTGTGAAGAACGTCCTTTTTCTTTTTGAACACCCACTTGCACTTCACAATTGTACCTTCTGTCGGTTTCTCCACCAGTTCCCACGCCTCATTTTCTTCGAAACTACCTATTTCTTCTTTCATAGCTTTCCTCCATCTTTCTGCATCTACTAATGATAGAGCTTCACTCACAGAAGTAGGATCGCACGAGGGAGTTTCATTGCACATATAAACAAAATCATCATTTCGTTTTGGTTTGGGTACAAGAGTCGATCTTCTCAACATCGGTTCCTGAACATGCTCATCCATGTCCCCACCCAAAGACTCCTCCACTGAATCCATGTCTTCCTCCACTGAATCCATGTCTTCTTGTGGAATTTCTTCATTGACAGGGACATCAACGTAATCATCAGCCTTTGGAGTTTTGTTCCATAGGTCCACATAAATCTGTATGAACAATTTCTAACAACTCTCGAGTCTGGGAGGAACTATGCGGAAACTTTTGCCTTTGTTGTTTACCTTCACAGCAGACAGTGCATTTTGACGAATCACCTTTCCCTTTCTGCTCAAAACCAACGATTGCTCCTTTTCTCATTTTGTTTAAATCTGGCTGATTTAAGTGACCAAAACGACGATGCCAAGTGTTTGAGCTGGCCGCCATCAATGAGCAACATTTTTCATCCTTCCCAATATTAAGTTTATAGACATTATTTACCAAATTAGCCGTACCAATCAATTGATCACATTGATTAAAAATCTTACAGCAATCTACGTCAAAAACAACCATATTCCCTTGGTTAATAATTTGAGAAACAGAAAGCAAATTTGTAGATAATTCTGGGGCATAATGAACATTCTTAACATCAATAGAAATTAATTGCCCATTGACTGAAGTTTCTATGTTTCAGTCGCCTACACATTCGACCTTGATCCAGGGGCGTCGCTAGGAAATTTTCCAGGGAGGGGCAGCGTGAGATGATTTTTAATGAGGTTTTAAAGGGGCAATTTGGGAACATATATCTATTATATATATATATAAATTCTATAACGTAAATGTATTTTCACAAACGGACTTATGTATACAAATACATATAAAAATAATACGAAATTATCGCACACATTCGACGTGGATTACTTGCAAAAATTTCTACAGTTTGGTTTATATAATAATCTTGATTTTTGAAAATCATATCACGATGAACACTCATCATAGCCAAACCATCAAGACGGGCTTGTCCCATGGTACTTCTTAGCCATGTCTTTATCCTCTTTAGTCCACTAAATGACCGCTCCACCGTACATGTTGTGCACGGCAGACAAACTAAAAGCTGCAGAGCTGTTTTAGTTTGCGGAAAGAACTCATATCACACGTTTTTATAAGCAAGGTTCTGTAATTTTTGTGTTCACTTTTCATTTCCAGGGGGGGGCAACTGCCCCTCCCTGCCCCTCGCTGGCGACGCCCATGCCTTGATCTTTTGTTTGTTCGCAACAATTTCATTCAAATCATTTGCAACTCTTAACATTTTTCAACCAATCTTTTCTTGCTGTCAGATGAATGCTTGCACCAGAATCAACGTAAAAATCATTTGCTTTAAAATTTCCACCAAGAAAAACTGTATTAAATGCCCCATGAGTAGCTGAAGCTGCAGACTCATTCCCCTTTTTTAAATCAGGACATTTATTTTTATAATGGCCAGGCTTTTTGCAATGATAACATTTTATCTCTTTCTTAATATTTTTATTCTTGGCTTTTTTATCTTGCCATTGACTGACAAATGCATTACCGGTTTTAGCTTCTCCTTCCATGTCTAGAAGCTTCGACTTAATTGAATCGGTGGTGATAGAAATTCCAGAGTGTTCGATGGCCATAATCATGGGAGAAAATTTCTCGGGTAACCCTGCCAATAGCAAAGACCCTACCCACTCATCGTCAATGTTAAAGCCCGTACCTCGTAATCTCTGGCCTGTTTCAATTACATGCGTTACATAGGAATGCATCGAGTCGTGGTTTTCCAATCTTGACGAAATTAACGTACGAAGCAAGGAAATCTTCCGTACAAAACCAGTATCAGCAAACATGGCTTTCAATTTGTCCCATAGCTCCTTTGCTGTCGTAGCCCCTTTTACATGCACATACAGAGAGGTATCGAGTGTTAATACTAACTTGGCTTTTGCTTTGGCGTCCTTATCAGCGTCCTCCTCGGTACCTTTGATGCACTTTTGCAGTCCTTCCAATACAAGGAAATTCTCGACGGCAAATGTCCATTCATCAAAATTTTCACGACCTTTCAGGCGAGGCACGTTCGCGATATAACTGTTAGCCATCATTATAAAACCGTACTTTAACACTACTCCACTTCAATAAATGCACATTATCTGATAACAACGTGTTTTTCGCGCAATCTGGGCTCATAACCTATTAAAACCTTTTACATTATCGCCTTAAAGGGATTATAAAAGACACGAAGGTATCCATTTTATTTATTGTCAAGAAGTACAGTACCATAGAGTACATAAACGTGTAAAACATAAATTATTTTCATGTAACAAAACGGATGGCGCTTACGGTACTAAATAGAAACTATTTGGAGATGCATCAACATTTTAACTGTACTATATGGTCTAAGATTTTAACACATAGGCGCTTGGAACAAAGGAAAATCTAACGTTAGTTTCAAAATTTAGATTTGCGCATGCGCAGTTTCAACTTTCTTATTTAGAAATGAAATTCTTCTTATAAACAGAGCACGTCAAAAATGGATTGCCCATGTGCAACGCTATCTTTCATATTTGTGGCCGGATTTTTACGATTTTAACAGAAGTTGCATCTTAGAAATGGGATGTAAATCGTTTACGCGTGTTTAAGCCGTTGGTGGGCCAACTACCGTCGTACTATATGAGGTAAAAGAACGAATGGGGCCTATAAGGGCCTCAGGTGTATATTTAGCATTTCGGACGGTGGTGATGAGTATGTGAGTATCATACGCAGGTTTTGGATATTTATTCAATAAACGTTTGAAATTCTACAAACTCATTTTGTTCTTCTTCGGTGTCCATTTCAATGACCTCTAGAAGCTTTTCTGAGGAAGTACAATTTAAGTTATCGTTTACTGTATGATCAAAGAAATGAAGTGAAGATCTACTAAATGCGAGGCAAGAAGATTCCTCCGTCCAAAACAATTCTCGAGTATCTTTCCAATTAACTAACTTAATCAGACTTTCGTAACCTTTCATCTCTTTTCGTCCGCTCTTCAAAATTAGTTCCACATATTTTGGTATAAGTTCTTGGCCTGCAAAGTTTGATTAGAATTAACGGTTTTATTGTAATTATTTACCAGACGAAATCGCTGCTAAATTTTTAACTTGCTCCCTGTTGAGAATATCCCCGATGTCGTGAAACTCTTGTATTGCTTTTATTAGCATGGATGTTGCTAAATGCGGCGATCCTTGATTCAGATGGAACTCTCCTAAGCATTTATGTGCCTGAGCCGTGTAATAAGGGAAGTAGTTTTCTTGTGCGTACGCTAGTAGCTTTTCTAAATGCGCAAGGGCCATGGAAAACTTTCCGATCCTAGGAAAGGGGTAGAGGAGGAAGTTCATTTCATTGCATGTATACTTTAGGTTTTTTTACTTTAGATAGGCTAACGCAGCGTGGATTCGACCCTCACAAACACCTTCGCTTTGACCAGCTCTCGTGTAGAGAATTAAAACTTTTTCAAATGATATTGTTGCTGAATCAGCATCTCCAGCTTCCATTTCGCATATCCCTTGTAGCATTAAAGCGGTTGCTTCTCCGATATGGTCACAAGCTGTAGTATGAACAGGATTGATGCAACATGTTTCAGTTAAACGTATCTAATGGATAAGCCCGAATTCGAATGCATTTGTGTTCATGGAAACTAACTGTCAGATAAAGATAATAAATCGGCAACCGAATTAATTTGTTTAAATTGTTTGCTTACATACTAGTAAAGCGTCTGACAAAACTATCGAAAATTGTTCAGCCGAGAGTCTTAGAAATATTTAATATGAACGCGGTTGTACTTTTTGAGATCAAAGATGAGATAAATTTTGAAACGGATTACTTCCACGTCATATGTAGGTATCAATCTTTTAGGGAAACTTGCTTACCATCCAGGGCTCGTTTTTGAGCCAGAATGCAGATTCTGGCGGCTTTCAGGGGATCAGATTTCATTGTCTGCTTAGCTTCAATTAGCAAAATTCTGTACAGTAATATGCAAGCCTCAACAAATAGAGAGTCTTGGTACGGCCCCAATTCGCGTCTAGCTGACCACGTGCTTCCATTGGAAAGCGCCCTCGATTCCATAAGCAACAGCTTTGCTTTTTCATAATCATTCACTATAATGAGTCAGTTATAAGTATCTAGTGCTACAAAATTTACGTGTGGAGGAACTAACTGTTCTCGAACAAAAACTTTCCGTATATAAACTTTGTAAGTGCCTGCTTTTTCCCTCCATCTCTCATGAACTCTTTACTTCTATTGTTCGCCTGTATTAAAATTTGCTCTCCAAGCCACCACCAATCTTCAGCACCTAAACCAAACTGAATTCCCAACTTAAGAAGCTCGTCAATTTCTTCACACATATTATCTGAACACTTTCATAAGCATCTATCACGGACTTTATTGATTTTACTTTTAAAGTGGGCCACCTCTGCGTTTGCCAACCCGCGATAAACCAAATCCAGCTCGTCTCGACTTTCGCGCAGCCGAGGTCTGCGGCTCATAATAGAATCCGGGCCTTGTTCCTTTCTCAGTTCCTCTTGGTACTGCACTAATTGCCGTAGAAACTGTTCCGTATTTGTTAAACCACGTTCCATTAGATCCGCAAGCACAGAATCGTAGTACGGAAGTCGATACCTGCCAAACGAAATTTGTGAAATTCGTTTAAGGGAAGCGTAGGTAATATTTTCCTCCTAATTTCGCTTCTGCTTAGCACCGGTAGGGACGATCTCATACTTTGCTTTAATAGTAGAAGCCTCTGCTTCTTCAGTTTTTCTCGTTTTATTGGTGACACAGGCAATTGAGTGTCCATTGCGAATAGGTACGTTAGAGATAATTGGCAGTTCCCACAAACCTTAAAAGTCGAATCGAATTGACGTACGTTAACGTGATTCTTATCTTGAAGTTATCGCCAAGAGGTTAAGTTTGGGAACAATAGTTGATAAGGGACCAGGAATAATTTTGATGGATAAACGTGTTTTATGTTATTAGCGCATTTTCCAACTCATGCTGGAAGGGGCTATTATGGCCACTTTCTCCGTCCGTTCGCCCGTCCGTCTGTCCGAGGCGTTAACTACTACCGTTTTAAAATATTTAGTTCGTTCTTTTTACATTTGTTGGCTAATAACTCTGGCATCTCAACCAAGAAAAATGTTGACGATATGTGCGCATGCGCAGTCTGCGCAATGTCAATTTCCTCATTTATGGAGGAATTTTTTTGAAATTTTAACCACAGATGCTTCTAGTAAAGACTTTCTTATTTATGGAAATATTTCATTGAAATCTTAATCACAGATGTTTCTGGTAAACTCAAACATGTCGCATGCTGTACAAATCAGATGTGCGCCCTGCGCAATATCAACTTTCTTATAAAGATATGTTTTAAAAATTTTAACCACAGATTCTTGTAGCAATAGCAAACATATCGCATAATTGAAATATTAGGTGTGTACATGCGCACATTGCGCATTGCGCAACGCTAAGGTATTTATGACATAACTTATTTTCCTTTGCACACATAAATAGTCCGTTATATGACCTTTCGGGAAGTTCTGATCAATTCATGGAAAATGCACTAAAGTTACTCGCCCCAAGGCGAAAATGTTTTTTCATTTTTGTAAATATGACTTGTTCGGTTGATATTTTTAATACTCGACTTTTTAAGTCTCGTACTTCAATATTTCCTCGTCTGTCATTTTCATGACATTTCTGTAACGTCATGCAACCTTCATTTTCATGCCTACTTTATGTCAGAAGATTTTAGTTTGCATGGCAGAGACCAAGGATACTATATAATATAAGGATTGCTCGATCCCTATACTTGTAATGTTGCCCAAGTTTAAGTCATATGTGACGTCACCAACGGACCCGGCTGTCAGAATTGACAGTTATGATTATTAGACTGTAACAACAGCCGTGTTTGCACAAAAATCACTAACCCGGAAGTCATTTACCATAACTTCCCTAAAACCGATGGATTAATACGCAAGGAATTTATATGGTGCTGAAAGCGAGATTAATGGACAAGTGTTTCTAATTTAATTGCCTACCTACAACACACATTTGAACGTATTTTATGGTAATCCTAAAGGTCGAATTAGAGCAGCACCGAGCGGCGCAGAGTAGCGCGGCGCGTCGCTAGCAGCAAATTGTAGAGGGGTACTCCCACTTAAGCACAATTTGGAAGCGTGACGAAGCAGCGTTTCTGACTTTCTGTTTGTGTTCAGTTTAAGGGAGAATGTATTCTTACACGATCGAAGAAGAGCCATCATCGTCATCATCACCAGACGATTTCATAATATTTATAGCGGCACTATGCCATGTACACGACGAAAAAAGAAGAAAAAGAAAGCGGAGGAGTACAATTAATTTTTCTATTCTTTGTCCGTCCATAGCGAATACACTAAGACACGCAAGCTCAACACAGAAGACAAATAAATGCTTTTCACAAGCCGCAGCACCACGCCGATCTGCTTCGCTCCTCGATTCCCACTTGTCCATCTACACGCAGAGCGGCGCGTTTCAAAGCAGTGCCGCGTATTCCATTGCTTCCCGACGCGTTTAAAATTTGCTGCGCTGCACCGCGCCGCTCTGCTCTGCCTAGGTGAAAACGGCTCTACTTATTTACATGCGAACAATTTGAGAGCAGCTTTTCACAGCGCCGCGCTGCTCGATGCTGGTATAATGGGAATCGGCCTTAATTAAAGCATGTGCTGGTACTGGGTCCGCGAGTGACGTCACTACACGCGGCGAAAAAATTCAGTGATCGAGCAATCCTTATATTATATAGTATCCTTGGGCAGAGACAGTAAAACTTTACTACGAGGAATGAGCTTAGACCATATAGTACATGGACTGCTATTCGCCCTATGCTTTCAATACAAAATGGGTGGTCACGATAGAGGGCTCTGTAGTCGTGGGTATGTTAAAGTCACTAAATATAGAAAGTACCGCAATCCATTGGGCTCGTGTGTTAGAGAGAGAACGCGTGATTTTTGCCCAAAAATGGCGGAAGTTACCAGATTCTAGTAACTTTAATGTTAGGGATTGTTCCACCTGTTTGGAGATATCTGTATATATTTTTCTTAGACCATATAGTACATGGACTGCTAATTGTAACTAAAATATGGTCAAGGACATCGCCTGGGTATGTGAGTTTCAGGGTAAACGAGTCTGTTCGAAGTTGTCCGATGAGACACGATTTGAGATTGTCAACCTATAAATTAACAAACGTCAATTGATTAATCGCCTAGATATCCCAAAAAAAGCAAACTTATTCTTATTTGTGGACATATAGCAAATAATGAAGAGCATTTAAAGCTTCCCGTACTACGCGGTTACTATAAAGCTGCTCTTTAAGCGATCCTAGTGGTGTTTACACGACTTTAGTTTACCCTGAGATTCACATACCCACGACTACAGTGCCCTCTATCCGTGACCATCCATTTTGTATTGAAAGCATAAGGCGAATAGCAGTCCATGTATTATATGGTCTAAGATATTTTTATAAAACATGACAGTACTATGAAGTTAGGTTATCAAAAATTACAGCTATTCAGATTTTATTTGTCACTTTTTTTAAGTTGGCAGCAAATTTGCCCAAAAATGGCGGATGATTGCGGTACTTTCTATTATATATCTAGTGACTTTAGGGTATGTGAATCTCGGGGTAAACTAAAGTCGTTTAAACACCACTCGGATCGCGTAAAGAGTAGCTTTTATGGTAACCGCGTAGTACGGGAAGCCTATTGATTATCTTCTATACTATACTATACGTCCACAAATAAGGATAGGTTTGCTTTCTTGGCATATTTAGGCGATTCACGTTTTTTAATTTATAGGTTGATAGTTTCAAATCGTGTCTAATCGGACAACTTCGGACAGACTCGTTTACCCTGAAACTCACATACCCAGGCGATGTCCTTGACCATATTTTAGTTACAATTAGCAGTCCATGTACTATATGGTCTAAGGGAATGAGGATTGTTCAATAGAAACACATTTGATCTATGCAGCCATGACAACCGAATTCATTTATTTATTAACGAGCTCCTAGCGAGTTTATAATTTTGCGGTGTCTGTTCGTCGGTCCGCCTGCCCGTCTTTTAGCACGATATCTCGTAAACGAATGGACTGATTACGATGAAATTTTGCAGGTGGATTCTTTATCAAATTTGTAGATCGAAGTTCGTGAATTGGCAATATAAGCCAAAAAATGAAGAAGGCCTTTTTGACATCTCCGTTAGTTATGAACCGAATTGCATGATATTCAATATGCGCATAGCTTTAGCCATATAAAACGCAATCCCAAAAGTTGCATCTAATCGATCAGCAATGACAGTGCCCTCTTCGCATCTCGACCATTTATAAACCGAATTGCAAACTTTCTTATTTAGGAACGTATTTAAATAAAATTTGATAAACCTCTCGCCAGGAAAGATTGCCGCCGGTCACAGAACACTTGATCCCGATCTACAATCTATGTTTTTCTAAAGATGTGAGCGACCTCCGGGATAGTATCGTGTCAATGTTAAACGAAAAGACTTTTCGTTGAACATTAAGAAAAACATAGATTGTAGATCGACACAAGGTGTGCTGTGACCGGTAATCTTTCCTGGCGAGATTAATACCTACCTTCATAGGCATAGGGATTAACATTAAGACTACTACTTCAGTCGCAAGGTATATACGATATTTTTCGTACTTCCGAAACTGAAACGTAGGTATACATTATGTATGGCCATAGACCAAGTATGGCGTTAGAGAACGCGTTCTTTTGAAAAACCGCCGGTTAACAAGTTAGCAGGAACGTTGCGTTGGTACGACAAACCCTATGCTATGGACAACAAAAATAATTTGGAATTGTCATTGCTAGTGTCATAAGCTTGGTCATAAGTGATAAAGTTGTATTTGATAGTGATAATAGAGCAGCCGAAGTAGGTGAAGAATTGATACTACCGAAGTTCAAAAAACTATATGAGCATCAGTACGATGCGTTGAAGAAGATGGTCCCGCATAAAAATGTAGAACAACCTACTGAAAATGCCTTTAATCCTTCCGGGATTTCCGTCTAAATTTAATCCCGGAGGGACAAAAAGTGACACTTCAGTTCTTGTCATAATGGAGTGAAGTTGTCACTTTAGTCTCGGAAGTACGAAAACGAAATTATTTCAATTCTTTAGGAAATTTCCATAGCTTAACATGATTTTGCTAATTGGGTTTATTGCCGAATTTTTAATAAAATAATGAGAAATACACCTGAAAATAAACTAATTCGTATACATAATTAGATGGAAAAAAATCTTCTTTTGATTGGTATCATTATAAACCCTGTAAGTTAATATGGGGATCAACGGTCTGCAAAAAATGTGTTTCCCATGTTAATTGCCTATGTTCGGTTTTAAAATATTCACCCGTTATAAAGTTTCATTTAAATATCTTCATAAATAAAAAACATTAGCATTGCACATGCGTTAATCCAAATTTTTGATACTGCGCATGCGCAAATACAAAAAATATCGGTATGCACGGAATCCTTGGACCAAGCCCTTTCAAATGAGTGCTATATCGCCCAAATCAGTTTAGTGGTGTAGAAGGAGTACGTGTGACGGACGGACATACGAATGAACGACAAAATGCAGCCAATAGCGATTTTTCACTTTGAGGAAAATACGCTAAAAGCTAGTTCACATCCACTTTAATTACGTGTCGTAACAATAAGACATGAAAAATGTAAAGTTGAAATGTATTACTTTAAAGGCGTCAGTTCACATTCGTATAAAACATGAGCCGCGCAACGTTACGTACGCAAAAGTTGACCGAACTTCAACTTAAACCACTTACGTTACGTACGTATTTCATGCAGGCCAATCAGCGCTTTCCAAAGTACCATTAATTTCACTGTCTCTCTTTGTCGCAAAGGGTTGCCACTTGTGTCAGTGTGGTGTTTTTCCGTGTGTTCTGAACGTGTGTTCAATAATCAACTCAAATGGACGACGCGAAATTAATCGAGCTCGTTCAGAGTTTTGCCAATCTTTACGATCGTCGAAGATCAGATTTCAAAGATAGTGAAAAAACGGATCAATCTTGGAAGCAAATATCGCAACTGTGCGAAAGTTGTACAAAATATACTTATATAAACAATTTCTAGAACAAAGACGAGCATTAATAATAGTGTTTCTTCCTGCGCCAACACTGGCGAGGCTGAAGATGCCACCGATTTGGAAAGCCACAACTTCTCACAAAACATGTTACAACAGCCCATTCATGGATTTAAATATAGATATACCGGGATGCTCAAACTCCAATGAAGTGATTATATATTATAATTCGCACTGAATCAATTCAACTATATCCCTGTACCTATATTTACTATTAATAACAACAACAGTAGAACTACACAGTCAGATTTTTTGAGAACTGTTAAATTGACACTAATGACAGTTCGTTAGCGCCAAAGTTTCCCATGTTTTCTACGACTCCCATGTTTCACTGTGAACGGGAAGGTCTACATTGTGAATTTATCGTTCATTTTTTTCTGTTACGACACGTAATTAAAGTGGATGTGAACTAGCTTTAAAAAGGTTGCAACTGCCTCCGTGACATGGGCTAGGCTTTTTAAATAAAGGACTGAATCTTTCTACTTAAATGTTTGGACTCTAAGGTCTTAAACCCTTAGAATTAGATGGATAGATGAAAGTCCCGCGATGGTATTAGTTAGTATAGGTAGTAGAGGTTTTAATTGAAGTCATGTTTTTGATTTTGTGGATGTGCATCTAATGTCTACAGAATTTCTTTCTTAACAATTAAATATACAAACATTTAAAACTTAAGCCTTAACAGCATGCTTCCTTGTCTCAAAGTGCACCGGAAAACCTTCTTCGCGTTTCAGAATTATGTCACCCTGTAATTTAAAATCTTTCTCTGTCAAGTGAGAACGAACCCGGAAATTTCTCAATATAGTTGATAACAGAATCTTCAATTTCAGCATGGCATATTTTCGTCCTATGAGTATAGTCGACAAATATTAGAAAATCGTGTGACACAGGTAATGCTTACCCACACAGCTGCGGGGTCCCGCACTGAAGGGGATGAATCCGTAGTAGTGTCGTTTTGCTGTACGCTCAGGAAGAAAATTATCTGGATCAAATTGATAGGGATTGGGATAGAGATCTTCGCGTCGATGTATTTTTATTGTTGCCACCACTACTGTACATCCCGCTGGAAGTATGTAGTCACCACTTGCTGGAACAGTGTCAATGATTAACTTGTCTATTAGCTGATATGTTACCAAGTTTGACACTTTCTTTAAGCTGCCTGGCAATAACCGGAACCGGAGGATACAATCTAAGCGTTTCCAAAAGGCATCTCTCCAAATATTTCATTTCCAAGGTATCTGCGAATGTGGCGGGACGATCTGAATTGCCAAAAATTTCATCCAATTCTTGAATTACTCTTTCTTGTATCTCAGGATGGGCAGCCATTAAAGACAAAAAGAAACTACTTCCGGCGGCCGTAGTATCGTGCCCTTCAAACATGATCGTGTCGACTTGTTCCCGAATTTCCTCGCTTGTTATAACAACTCCATTTTGCGATGACTCAATTAGTAAATCTAAAAATGCCATTCGCTTCTTTTCACCTACATCATCTTCGACATCTAGATCATCCTTAATACCCGTCGATTGACCAAAGGATACTCCCCCGACAACGCTGCTAACCTGTTTACCTTCCTTCTTGGGACTGGATTTTATACGCACCTCATCTGGTACTTCAGCTACAGACCCTCTAATTCCCCTACTCCACACTTCCATTTTACTTTTGATTACTTTGCGTGTTAAACTGTGAATGATATTCAGTAATGTGCCTTGCGCAGTCCCATATTTGGTCAATTTAAAAATCCAATCTGGTCTCATCCACAGTTTCGCATGTCTCAAATGGAGGATGTCACACATTTTCATTACGGCCAGCGCGTAATCAAGTCCGCTCTGATCCTGAGTTTTTTTGCTAACACCCATTGCAGTTTCTAATATGAAGGTGCGAATGAATGCATAACATGGAATGAAAGCTAAACTTACCCAACAGGATTTCAACCGTTGCCTCGGACATATTGTCATGGACGTCAATGGTTTTCCCTTCCTCTTTACGCAGCTTTTCTACTGTGGCCCTACTATTTGCGTTAAATAGTTCAATAAAACCCTTCAATACGTTCAAATGGAACGTCGGAGCAATTAGTTTTCGATGTGCCTTCCATTTTTGACCTACGCAGTTGGTCGTAATTATAAGAACAGGAAACAGATTTCAATGTATATACCACTGCTAATAAGTAAACCATTTCCTAGCCATGGTTCAAAAAGGCGGTACTCGGGGGACTTGTCGATATGAACGGTGCTACTTAAAATCATTTCGGCATCTCGCGGGTCACCAATAAAGATGACGAGTGTGGGACCAACCCATATCTTCATTATGTTATATGGTTCTCCATAATTGTACATTGTCTTGAAGATTTCTAAGGAAAAGCTCGGTGTATTTTTACGGTAAGAAATTGAACGGTATACTTTACCATGAGCAGAACCTCGACAATCTAACGCATTTCCGATAAGTGGCCATCCTTTAGGTCCAGGTATCTTTTCGGCACATTCTAACATGTGTCGCCTAGTTATTCTCCAATACACATACCATAATATTAAACTAGAGATTAATAAACTGAAAAATACGTTTCTCGCATACGAGAAACTTTTGGGTTGTACATCAGAGTCAGATGATAGGATTTCTACAGACATTCTAGGTAGGTAGCTTTATGTCTGTAAATATTCGCACTATGTCATGCCAATTATAGTAGCAAAATCACTCAACTGGAAGTAACGTTGAGCAATTCGCCCTTAAATAGAAAATTCATGCGACGCATTTACAACTTGTGTAATTAATTAGTGTAAGTATATTAATTAGAAAAAGAACTGCATTGTCAATTAGTAATTGTATTCAATTGCTGACGTTAATGAAATGTTGCACTTAAAAATCGTGTGTGTAACTAGGTACATTATCTACTGGCAGTCTATATAAATAAAAATCGCCGAAATGTATGTACGCGCAAAACTTCAGAATTTTTTAGCGCATTTTTTATTAAGAATTAAAAAAAGTGCTATTGTTTGGGTTTTGTCCGTCCGCCCGTCCGTTCGTCCGCCCGTCCGTCCGGACCCACTTTTACCGTTTTGAACTACTTGTAGGGGAATGGTGCTAGAGTCCTGGAATTTTTTGCAGTAGGTAGCCTATACCTTGAAGGTGTGCCAGACGGCCATCCAATTTCGCTGTCTAAAAGAGCCCCCCCCCCCACACGAACTATTTCCTGAGATGCCGTTTTTGAAAGTAAAACGTGCATAGCTTTCACATATGACAACCAATTGGTCTCAGATTTTGCATACGCATGCCTTTAGTGGTGTTAAGTTAAGTTAGGCTTTAGGGAATGGGGGGGGGGGTGTAAACAAATGTTCTACCCTTCATGTTATTCTAATTTATTTATTTATTTATTTATTTATTTTTTATTATGTCATCGAAATAAATTGGTTTGTACAAACTATAACTTTCCCGTGCGACTCATTTTCGAGATCAGTGAGCGACGGGGCCTGAGGGGGGTGGGTTTCTTTTATCTCTCATTGTATTCTAATTAAAGGTCTCAACGAAAGGAAAATTGTTTTCTACCAACTAAGGTCCTTCTTTCTGTCCTCTTATCAAAGTACGGGGTGGAGGGGACCGGGGAGGGGGGGTGGAACTAGTTTTATCCTTCACGGTACTCTAACGAAAGGTCTCAACGAAAGGAAAATTGTTTTCTACCAACTACAGTCCTTCTTTCTGTCCTCTTATCAAAGTACGGGGTGGAGGGGAACGGGGAGGGGTCCGAAGTTCGCCGGTTCTTTTATTTAATTTATTATAATATGAGCGGGGACGAATATTGATTGAAAGGAAAGAACCAGCATGAATCGAAGTATGACTAAGTAGAAACGTAAGAATTAGTTAGGTATGTAGTACTTAAATAGGAAATAAAAATGTAGTTTTATTATTTTGGAATGTGAACGCTGTTCCGTTTCATGGAATATAATTACAAAATGTAGAAAATGGTAGCCGAAGTGCACGCGGCGAGCGTTGACGTCGGAGTGAGCCATATGCTTTGCTTTTAAACTTTGCGGCCAGGCCGTTTTGACCAATGAGGGTGCAGCACGTTTTAGTTTGCTGCCCGATGCGCAAGTCGCGCGTCGCCACATTACTCCCCCTCCGGCGCAGCGGTATGAAAGTTGGCGAACTTTTTGAGAAAATTCACGTGTCGTCCGGATCTGGTTTGTTGACGCGAAGTAGTAGGCATCGTTCGAACATGCAGTTTCCTCGGCAGGAGCGAAGTGGGCTGCTGGATATCAATAGCGGTGAATGCGGCCGTTTACGTCTATGACAAAGTCTTTGTCGTGCCTGGTAATTACCGTGCATGGTCCCTCGGAAAGGTTGGCCTTCTTTTCGCACAAAAACATGTGAACAGGTATGCAGCTCCGGCTGAACGACAATTCTTGGCTAGAGTCATCTGCGGGAGTTGAGCGAAGACCCAGAAGGACGATAGGTAGCACGTCTACCTATCGCTCGATTCTGTTTTTGTAGATGGATGCAAGACAAAATAGCTCAAAATTCTCAGTTTGGAGCCGAAGTTCTGTTTACCAATGAAGCATCTTTCTCTAGAGGTGGTAGAATATAACCACATACCTATGGCCTGAATAAAATTCACGTGAAATTGCAGAAGGTCATCATCTGCAACAATTTTCCGTGAATGTTTGGGCTGGCATCGTCGGTGATCATTTGATAGGCCCACATTTTTTACCGAACTGATTAAAGGGTGTAGATCATCGACAATTTCTAGAAAAAGTATTGTTGGAACTGCTGGAAGATGTATCGCTTCAAGTAGACAAAACATGTACCTACTTTATGCATGATGGAGCTTCAGTCCTCTTTAGTTTGGTTGCACGTCAATACTTGGACGACGAATTCCAAGACCGTTGGATCGGTCGAGGATGTCCGCACTCTTGGGTCCCGCGATCTCCCGAACTTAATTGTTTAGATTTTTTCTTCTTCTGGGGCTATTTCAAAACCCCACAGTCTACGCTACTCCAGTTAAAATGATGACCACCAATTCAGAAAACGCATTGTTGCATCTTGCGACATAATTCGGATCACTGCGGGAATTTTTCTGCGTGTTAGACAGTCAATGCGGGAGGACATTTCCAAATAGATTTGTTTCTTTTTTTAAAGGTTGCAGTTATGAAGTAGAAGTTAACGTTTGGTTTTGTTACTTGTTCTATAACGTTTAAATAATTTTTGTTTAATTAGTAAAAAAAATTATCAAAGTCCTCGTGTGAGATCGAAGGGACTTCAGCGCATTTTTGTGTGGCAGATTAGTATTCAATTAGCCACTTTTGACTCAACCATCAATAAAAGATCTTGTCGAAGGCTACTACATTCACTTTGCCGGTACCCGCTTCTTAATTTTCGCGTGCACCCGCAATTCCCGTTTAAAGTTTTCACTCCACCCTCAGTAAAATCTTGTCGTGGACTACCATATTCCCTTTGTCGGTATCCACTTCCGATGTTCCGTTCCCTTCCAATGCGCGTTTGAAGATTTGACGCCACCATCAGTAAGATCGTGTCGGGGGCTACCACATTCCCTTTGACTGTACCCACTTCCGACGTTCCGTTCACCCGCAATTCGCGTTTGAAGATTTGATTCCACCATCAGTAAGATCGTGTCGCGGGCTACCACATTCCCTTTGACGGTATTCACTTCCGACGCTCCGTTCACCCCAAATTCGCGTTTGAGGTTTTCACTTCACCATCAGTTAGATCTTGTCGGAGGCTACCACATTTACTTTTTGGGTGCATACTTATATTACACCCACATTTTGGTGGATTTCGCTAAAAACCTTCCACAAGATAGTACTTAATTTTTGGGGCACTCATTGCTTGGCGACACGAGAAAGAGAGATAGCGATTCCAGATTTACGAAACGTTAAACCGCGTGGCAAAATTCGCAACGGAATCGGACCAAAACTGTAGTAGAAGATAGGAAAAAACTGAAAAACCTTCACGTTAGTAAACTACGCTCGAGGATGATGCCCAGATGTCGCCAACTCCACATCATGTAGCCCTGTCCCTAAGGTTGACAAATTACCCGGCCTTGTAGATACACGTACACCCGTTGCAAGTTTTTCTACGCGCCCCCATTTACTGCCAACCAGCCAGCCAGCCAGCCAAAGTGAGATTAAATGTGGTGTCACACTATGCGTTTTTACCGGTCCTGCTAAAACGGATGCGGTTTGACAGGATGATAATATCACATGTTAGTAAATTGTACCAGTCACATATATGCGGTTTTGCCGCACCAGGATGTAACCGCATCATATGCTGTCAAACTGCATCCATTTTAGTAGGAGCGGTAAAAACGCATAGTGTATTCAGGCACTAAGATGCGGATGCATCCTGTTGGTGCGGCGAAACCGCATATACTCGTATGTGACTGGTACTGGTACCATTTAATAATGCGTGATATTATCATCCTGTCAAACCGCATGCGTTTTAGCGGGACCGGTAAAAACGCATAGTGTGACACCACACTAAAAGCTACTTTTTACAAATAAATTTGCAAAAATGCGCTAAAAATTTTATTTCAAAAAATTGACCATGTTTTCCAACATAAAAGTTGATTTTTATCGAAAACGGTCAACTTTGGAGCCTATGACCAATAAAACCTTTTTTGTGTAGAAAACACTGGCGGTTCAAATGTCCGTCTCAAAACCGTACTTTTTCCAGTGGCGTCGAAGTTGGGGAGAAGAACACCCACTACCTCTTCAAAATCTTCACCAATTATGACGTTAAAAAATTTTTTTCGCACAAAACATAGCTTATTATGTGTAGAAAATGCTTAAAAAAACTATTTTCTGTACGATAAACGGTTCCGGAAATATTACATTTTAGAGGGTAGGTTAATAGAAACTTTTTTCACATTTTTGGACGAGCTATCACATCCTGAAGCCCTGCGTATTTAATCCGGCTATGACTCTCAGTGGTAGAGCTTTGGGCTACATAGACGGAAGGCCGGCGAACCTGGGCTGAGATATTTTTCATCTGTGGCAGAGATGGAAATTTCCTTACATTCGTTTCGAGCATTCTGCCATCTACTCCGAATTAGGTTTTCCTGCAGTTTTCCTTATTCGTAAGGTAAATACTGGTGTAGTATAGAACAACTTAAGACCTTCTGCAGGGGCACCTCTAAAAAGCATTAAAAGCATGTTTGTTTTTAGTTGAAAATCGAACAAATAGAAGCTCCAATTTATGGTGGGTTTATACAATCATTATCATTAGTTCATTAAGCTCAGGGTGGTTTCGTTGGTTAGCAACATGCAATAAACCTTTGTTTCTATTGGCTATTCCCTAATGATTTTTGATAGTGAACTAATTATGATAATCACTGTATAAACTCACCATAATAGTCAGTTTAAAAATCAACATAAAAAGAAATTATATGTAAATTGTCATTTAATCAACCAAATTTACAAAATTCCTCGCACAGCATCGCACGTCCATAAGTATCTATTTCTAAATATAATGGGCTACTGTTTCTAAGAATTAATTTCTTTTTATTTCCCACGTGAAAAGAAATGGATCTTTACAGCGTACGTAAATGTCGAAGTACCTACGTAGATGCAAATGTTTATTAAATTATATGACAATACAGAGGTCAAGAAATTTTAGCTTGTAAAATATGAGGAAATAATCACTGTTGGGATAATTAAAACGAAATATCCTAATACTACGTTACGTATATCTGTGCTAATACGAACAAATCAAGAGGAGTTCAAACTGGGAAATGCTCCATTTATGATTCAACAGTAAATTGACATCTAAATCAGCCTACCTTTGTTTTATACGTCCCGTTTTGTTTCCAATAGAGATGTTCAACCTCGACGTCAAAGTCACAGAGTATGGGAAAAAGGAAAATTTAACAAAAATTTCCAATAAATTTGCATTCAACTTTAGACGACAGTTTACAGAACTGATATGAATATGTAGTCACCATTAATGTACATGCACACGATGAAGAAGCAGATGTGTCTTATTCTATATGATGTAAGATGTAAGAGAAATAATCCAAAACTCATTACACGCGTCAATAAGTCACTACCATACGACAATACTAAAGCCATCGTTTAGAAAAATAATATTGACATATTGACAAACTTAATTACAAAAATAGTAAATAGTTCGGTCATTAGTGCCACAGTTCCTGATAGGTATATAAAACAGCGATAAGTAAAATTATTTATACAAAAGGCGCTCCAATGAACTATCGACCATTAAGCATTCCTTCTACAATAGAAACAGTATGGAAATCTATATTATATTAGGACATATAAAAGATTTCTTATCCGATAATGGAATAATACACTAATCAATAGGGTTAGAAAAGAAAAAGGGACCGAGTAACTTTTATTGAAGATTACATATACGTGATCAATATAGAGCCCGATAAGAAGAATTGCACCATTACCATATACATTGATACATTCGATACACTAAAACCCAGAGGCGTTAATAAAGAGCCTAAAAAGAATTGGAGTATAGTCGAAGGAATTACCATGGTTTGCAGCTTAGTTAAGGAACAGGTATAGTTACAGTCAAAATTGCAAGGGAGTATAGTATTGAGACCTCCAAAGAATATACGGAGTCCCACAAGGCAGTAATTTAGGCCTACCATTATTTATAATTTACGTGAAGAAGATAGCATATACATAGTATGTATATCAAGTGTAATACCTACCACTGAAAAATTGGATATTTTATCTGTGGTAATGACCTGTGACCTATTTTTTGATACTCGTCTCCTCCTAAGTCCTACATAATACGGGCCTAGCAAATTATGGCCCAACATAGTGGTACCAGGTTGGCCCATCCATTGAATATTTCTAGCGACGTCATTGAAATTAGAGTGATCTTCAACATAAATTAACATTATGTGTATTAATGTGAGAAAAAAACACTCGTAAAGGTAGACCTATATTGTTTATACCTACCAATATAATTGTTATACATTTTGCATTTATTGCAATTTATTGCTACATGTGACGTATTTCGCTTGCGATATAAATTTTCTACCCGACGCGACGATTTTGAAATCCAGTCAACTTCTTTTACTTGAACACGATATACCTATAATCATGTCTCTATGCACTGACATACTGAAAACTGGGAGGAATATTTTCTTGTGTTTGGTTGTCTTAACATTGACGATCCGGTATGTGTACCATCGATGGTTTAAGATGAGATTTGCAGACAACATTCCTGGCCCTAAGGGGTGGCCGTTCATTGGAAGCGCTTTGGATTTTAGGGGTTCGCCGAGCGGTACCTAATACAGTTGCACTAATTTTAAGTAATAACTCACAAATTCTTTCACAGACATGTTAAGTAAACTGTGCCAGTACTTACAAAGCAGTTCAGTAGTAAACGTCTGGGTTGGTCCCAAACAGTACATTTTCTTGACTGACCCCAGAGACGTTGAAGTCATTTTAGGCAGCAATGTTCATATCAATAAGTCGAGTGAATATGATTTGTTTAAGCCCTGGTTGGGAAATGGTCTTCTAATTAGTAACGGTAAGTTAACATGTTAGTCTGATGTATTGCTGATAGATAATACATCTACAGGTGAAAAATGGAGATCGGACAGAAAATTGATCGCTCCTACTTTCCATTTGAATGTTTTAAAAAATTTTGTTGAATTTTTTAATGCGAATAGTAGAGAAGTCGTGGAACGGTTACGAAATGTGAAAACAAATACATTTGATTGCCATGATTATATGTCAGAAACAACTCTGGAAATGCTGCTAGGTAGGTACGCATAATGAAACGCTTTTTATAGCACTAATTTATGACAATTTTAGAAACTGTAATGGGAGTTAACAAAAGAACGCAAGGCGAAAGCGCTTATAAGTACGTACGGGCCGTAATGAAAATGTGCAGCATTTTGCATTCCCGTCATTTTAAAATGTGGTTAACTCCTGACTGGGTGTTCAAATTATCCAAGTATGGACGCATTCAAAAAGAAATGCTGCATATTATCCACGGTCTAAGTAATAAAGTAGTAACGAACAAAATCTTGGAATGGGGCAATTTTGCCAAATTTTCGAAAAAGTCTAGCATCACTGCAGAAATTCCGGGAGAAAAAAAGAGGGTGGCATTTTTAGATTTATTAGTAGAAGTGTCACAGAATGAAAATCTCATTACAAGCCAGGAAATAAGAGACCAAGTCGATACCATCATGTTCGAAGGCCACGATACCACGACCTCGGCGGCCAGTTTCTTTTTATCCCTAATGGCCGCTCATCCTGACATCCAGAACAAGGTGGCCCGAGAGTTGTATGAAATATTTGGCGACTCAGCCCGTCCAGCCACCTTTTCAGATACATTAGAGATGAAGTATTTGGAAAGATGTTTGTTAGAGACTCTGAGGCTATATCCACCAGTACCGTTCATTGCTAGGAAGATCAATGAACCTGTTAAACTCGGTATGTATCCTATTTTGCAGTAGCTCTGCCCTAACTCACGATAACTTGTAGTAAGTGGAGATTATATACTTCCTCCCGGATGCACAGTTGTAGTGGCTCCGATAATGATTCACCGAAGGGAGGACATTTACCCAAACCCAAATCAATATAATCCAGATAATTTCCTCCCAGAGCGCTCTTCGAGCAGAAATTACTACGCGTTTGTTCCATTTAGTGCAGGACCACGCAATTGTATAGGTAGATATAGGTAATTAGTAATGCGTAAGGTGTACTATTATGCTTCCAGGGCGCAAGTATGCCTTATTACAGCTTAAAATTCTACTGTCCACAATTATGCGAAATTTTCACGTACGATCCCATTTAACTGAAAAGGACTTTCGATTGCAAGGCGATGTTATTCTAAAACGTGTGGAAGGATTCCAAATGAGCTTGGAGCCTAGAATAAATTGAACGGGCTTCTTGAAGTGAGATTCTCAAAATTTAAACTATTGTTTGTAGAATTAAATGAATAAATTTGGAAATAAAGTAAATTGTTATTATCAGGTGGCAATTTAACGTTGCCTGGATAACGGATAACGGGGTGATGTTATTATTGCCACAAAGGAACATAAACAAGTATAAATTGTGCACAACCCTTGTGCAGATAAAGCGCATTTGTTGAACTGAAATAACTTTTGTTTTGACATCACCAATGGATATACTTCTTGCAGACGTCTCAATCGCCCTTTGTGAGTACCCTCTTCCGACAATCCGTTCTTGAGGTATAAGGGAATATACACGATCACGATAAAAGGTCGAGGAGGAGGGCTATGGTTGGTAGAAATTAATTCCTTTCGTTGAGACCTTTACCATGAAGGATAAAACTAGTTCCCCCCCCCCCCCCTCACAGAAAGAAGGGCAGTAGTTGGTAGAAAACGGTTCCTTTCGTTGAGACTTTTAATTAGAATACAATGAAAGATTAAATCAATTTTTAACCTTCCCCCCTCAGGGTCCCCCTCTCGTTTATATTCGACGTTTTACTTAATACTCTTTCGCCATCTAGGTGTTTCGTTTGTAATGCACTAGTTTTACATGTAAGTTAATTCCTGTAGTAATTAGTAAACGTGTTATTATCTTAGTATCGGTTTTTAAGGAATGTTCTTTGTTTTGCCGAAGGAGGTTATGCAGAGTTTTCTGTTGTTACGCTGCGTTCTTCTCTTTCACATGGAACAATACACAAGTTTCTCTCTCGCACGCTACTTAGAATTGCGACAATCGTATTGTTGCGTGTAAAAGAGAAGGACACAACTTAACAGCTGATCGTGGTGGACCTCTTTGGTCATGTTAGAATGACAGTTAAACATAAATCTTTTATATAAAATCCCCCAAAAAATCAACTCCTATGACACCATGCAAACGGTTTAAAATAACTTGTATTTATCGATGAGTCAAAAGTCGACGGTTGATTTTCTCCTTTGGAAGGGTGGCAGTAGGGAATGCAATACCGGGATCGCAGGATCCCGAAATACCGGGATCCCGCAGCCTTTTTGCGGGATTAATCCCGTGCGTAAATGGAGCGGAATCCCGCGGGATATGTTGGATTGCAGAATTTATCGACCGAGCTTACCACCATACATTAGCAACTCTGCGAATTTGATTATTTCGCCTACAAATCATCCTTTCTAAAAATTTACACAAACAGCATGTCAACGAGATGCAAGGTTGGTATATTACAGGTTGCCTCGTAACTATCGACCAATAGCAATCGAGGCGCAAATACGTCACTGGTATCCCACGATTTAAACGAAATAATAAATGCATGCAGCCATACAGCTGGAAAATTTGATGCGTACCTATTGTTTACAGTTCTTTCATTATGTTTGAATCGTTTAACTAGTGAAACACAAATATTCAGTTTTATATTTTAAAATTTAGTAATTAAAAATCGTTATATAATACAGTCAATCTTCGTCTGATGTACCAGTGTTTACCGTGAAAGATAAACAGCTTCATCTAAGAATCAATCGCGTAGTCACATTTTTCTTCTAATTCTCTTAACGTAGTTTATATCGTCTCTATCTCTACACTTGTCTTCAATTTGTAGATGAGATAGTGTTGAGATATTTGAAAATGCCTGCTTTCCTTAACACCTTGATTTAGTAGTAATGAAAAAGCAGGGAGTTGTTTTTAGTTGCTATGTATAGTTAGTTGTAGTAACACAAAATTGCTGATTGAATCTGTTTCATTTTAGTCATTACATTTTTCCATATTTTTGCTCATTCGTGTTCATTAAAGTGTTTTCTACTTTCCTTGACTATCGCTTCTTAAAAGAACTCCAAAAGATAGGCGGTATCAACGACACCATATGATCTTCCTGCTTCGGTCAGTTTTAAACACGTTCATCTTCTGCCGGCCCGCAAGCATTAAATAAGATGTAGGTTCATTTGACCGGTGTCTTATTTTTCCCTAAAGCATCATCATCTTTCATTCTCCGTAAATATCGTGACCGCCAATCGAAAATGTCGCTACATTCCATCAATAATTGAAATTAACATTACCTAATTTAGTTATGAGTTTTATTGATTTGCCGTCACAGCAGCAGCTAGCTCTGTAGCCCTTTCCAAAGGAAATGCCCACATTCTGGCAGCTTTCTGTTTGTCAAAGAACTCCACGACCCTGTCAATAATATTTCTAGGTTCTGAATGCACATGTATTACAGGAGGTTCAATATTTATAACCTTACGCGTATGTCACACATTCATCAGATATCTATCAGTATTCCGGGCCTTTGGCCCTCTATACTTCCATCGCGGTGGTGTGACATGGAGTTGGTGGATTACAGGGAGCACTTAGGCCGCTTGTGCCTCCGTATCCCTGCAACGTCGTATGCCCAGGCATCTTGAATGTCCGGGTTTGGGTGATCTTGTGTGGTTCTCATGAACCTGACAGCGGCGTCCCTCATGTACTCGCGTACCGTGGCGATGTTAAATTCCCTGTGGAGTTGTTCGTTCCTCACGAACCAGGGAGCGTTAACGGCTAGACGCAGGAATCGGTTTTGGACCACCTGGAGCGGTTGCAGGACGGTTGGGGCGGCGTAGGCAAATACCTCTGCGGCGTAAAGGATGGCGGGGCGAACAAGTTGCTTGTAAAGGAGCAACTTGTTGTCCGTCGAGAGTACGCTGTTCCTGCGGATCAACGGGTATAGGCCGGCGATGGCGGCGTCACCAATCCTCCTCTTCTCACTGACGTGTGCCCTCCAGAGCAGCTTGCGGTTCAAGGTGAGGCCCAGGTATTTGGCTGAGTCTCTCCATCTTACTTCGGCATCGAAAAGCGTGATGTTGTCTTCTGGGAGGGCCCTTCGTTTGGAGAAGAAGACGGCTGTGCTCTTTTCGGTGTTGATTTGGATCCGCCATCTGGCGTACCAATCTTCAAGACGCTCGGCAGCGCGCTGCAGAATGTGCTCTACTAACTGGATGTTTCTAGAGCGGGCCAGGACAGCGGTGTCGTCCGCGTATGTCGCCAACACTGAGCCTTCGGTCTCCGGGATGTCAGCCACATAGATGTTAAAGAGTGTGGGCGACAGCACCGAGCCTTGGGGGACGCCCGCCGCAATCGGCCTTGGGCCGCAATCGGCCTTGGGGCGTATGTCACATAAGCGGTAATGACAAGATAACGAAATTTGAGTGGCTACCAGTGACGTCACTAGCAGGCGACTTGATCCCCATTATTACAGTTACGAGGCAACCTGTAATATACCAACCTTGAACGAGATGGGCCTATAGTTTGTTGGGCTTGTTCTGGACTTGTTGGGTTACAAAATTGGAATTGGGTTTTCCGCGTTTTTTCAAAAACCTTGAAAATAAACTCCAAGCACATTAAAAAAATTAGTGGTACTCATTTTTTTGTCAAGAGAAATCGTTGTGATTAGCAAACATGATTTTAAAATGAACGGCGTTTGAAAAGTTTTGAATGACCGCCACGTTGCTGTGACGTCACTACGCACGTTGGCGCTCAGCCGTAGCATTGGTTACAATCGATTCAGAGAAAGAAAACGTCGCGTTGACGGAAAAAAGCGTCGAATAATTATTGCATTTGTGCCTGGGTGTGATAGCAGAAGTCATCGCGAACCTAATATAGTACATTATATATCAAGGTAGAGAAGTCCACTATTATTGCCTGAGCACCAAGATTACATCTCGAGGCGCTTGCGCCGAGGGGTGTAAGGTGCGAAGGCAATAATAGACTTCTCTACCGTGGTATATATACTATTTTTTTCACTACTAGCACTTGAAATCCTCTAAATTAACATATTATATTGATAAGAGAGTTAACGGTTGGACAGAATTGTTTGTTTCTTAATTTAACATGTCAATCAAGTACGTGGAAGTACAAGTCAAACAGGCCGTATTTTGTTCTGTCATTGAGATTTTTCAAAGAGTAATTTCGTTCGAATTTTTTCAAAATGTGATAATTTTAGGTATGTAATTTCTCTGGAAATTGCGAATGGTGGCAATTATTCGTTTTAGAGAACTTGTCTAAACGTTCATTGAGCGAAATTTCGGGTTGTGTTTTCTGAAAGTGACAGCGTGACAGTTCTCATTATTGACTACTAGTTAATAATAAAAAATTATTAACCACTTTGAACAAATGCCGAGAAAGCCTACTTTACAAATGGAAAAAAGGTTAATAACCATGTCATCAGACGCTAGTAGTGAAAAAAATTGTATATAAACGTCCCAACAGGAAATATACGAAAAAAGTTCGACGTGATACCGCGAGTTTGACATCCCATTTGTATTGTGAAGACGATTCTAATTAATTAAAGTACATATTATCCTCGCCATTAGAGATTGCCGGTACGTCATAAGTAAATGACTCTAGCTATCCAAAACGTTTATAGTAAAGTCACATGAAAAACAGCACATCAAATAAAGACAGTGAATATTCGAAGTGCATTTGAAGGAAACGAAGTGAGTTATTGAATGAGATAATGTGGTAGAAAGAGAAAAAACAAAAACGAATAACCAATGCGTTTTGTAAACCGTATGAATTTGAACTCTCATTTGACTAAAATAGTTCTTCCGTATATTTGTTTGACAGTTGTGATTTTTAATTGTTCACCTGTCACGCACTTTTAAATCATCGGTTACGCACTTTTCAATCAGTTCTTTTGACAACTAATCCGTCACTTACGTGTATCCTATGTCTGCAAAGGGTAAAACTTTGCATACACAAGCACAACAGCTTGTGTTAAACTTAGTGCAACATTTTGAGAAGTAGAAAGAAAACGGTGGTCCATTGATACTAGTATCTGCTGTTCAAGAAGTAAGTGTGATTATAATCAAATACCTTAATATATTAATACAGGAAACTCGCTACTATTTGCATTTGCGTACGTGTGACACGTGAATGAGCGCCATCTTTACGGCGCGGTGTGCAATGACTAATGAATAAGAAGAGAATTATTTATATTCCCAAGAGTATTTAACATCATAGGGGTATGATATTATCAAATACCATCATATTATCAGTTTATCCATAAGAATTTTGCAAAATAATCTGT